CTGCAGGGGTTTCCCGTCCTGTACAGGTGTTTCTCAGAGAAAAGGAGGACAAGCTGAGACACATCTTTGACTCAGAGCCATGTGACTGTCACCTGCTGGGGCTGCCAGGTCACAGCATCTCACGTTAGCACGCGTGGCTCTGTCCCTGTATCACCATCTCCCTCTCTCTCCCCAGGTATGCTGGAGGATGGGAAGAAGTTTGATTCCTCCCGCGACAGGAACAAGCCGTTCAAGTTTGTGATGGGCAAGCAGGAGGTGATCCGTGGCTGGGAGGAAGGAGTCGCTCAGGTGCCCGGAGCTCCCCCGCCTCACGCTCCCCGTGCCAGGCTGTGCCGCGCCGGGAGCTGCAGCGTGGGCAGGAATCAGTGTGCATGCAGCTCATTCCTTCTTTTATTATTTTTTTATTTTATTCCCCTGTTCCACCCCCTCAGCGCTGGGAGGTGTGGGTGTGAATATCACCTTCTGCATTGCCACCTGCCAGCTGGCAGGAATGGAGCGGGGCCAGGCCCCAGCAACACCTACGGCACGTCGGTGACTCAGCGGTGACATTTCTGCACTGAGTTAGCTCTGAACGAGCACGGCGGGAGCGCTCGGGCCTCCCGGGCTCCGGAGCCCACGCGGAGGGAGGGCTGGTGGGCACAGCACAGCTCCGGGTGTGATCCCACGCTGTGGGCACAGCACAGCTCCAGCTCCTGCCCACGTGACACTGCTCGCTCTGTGCCACGCTGGCAGCGCAAGCACAAGGATGCTGGTGGCTGGAGGGAATGGCCTGCCATTCCTTGCCTTCCCTCGTGTGAAGGACATCTCAAGCCCTGTTCCTTTTTCAGCCCATGCTGCCTACCTTTTCCATCTGACATTCTTCCTGTTCCTCTGGTTTGTGCTGCCTGAGTCTGTACTCTTGCCCAGTGTAGGGAAAACAGAGGGGACAGGTGTGTGTGTCCCTCCCCTGTCACTCACCTGGCAGTTGTGCCCATCTCCTGACATCCCTGTGTTTCTGTCCCTGCCCCAGATGAGCGTTGGTCAGCGGGCAAAGATGACCATCTCCCCAGATTACGCCTACGGCTCCACTGGCCACCCAGGGATCATCCCACCAAACGCCACTCTAATTTTTGACGTGGAGCTCATGAAATTGGAATGACCCATCCCAGCACCCTGTCCTCGGGTAAGGAGGGGCAGCTTCTGTCAGGGATTGAGGACAGCTCAAGGCCCCTGTATATCTTGGGACTGTGTGAGGAGGTAGGACGGAGGCAAGGGGGAGTGGGCAGTAGTGGGGAATATGAGAAGGGCAGGGCAGGTCTCTGTGGGTAAAAGTTGCTCTTGGGAATCTGGTGAGCTGGAGTTCTGATCACTACAGTGCAACATGCAAAGTTCCTAGCCTGGCAGAGCAGGTTGATGTCATGGAGGTGTTGGAGTGCCAGTTCTTTGTGCCTTGGGTTTTGAGTGTTGTTGCTGCACCAAGGGGGCTCAGTTGCCACGTTCCCTCCTGACTCATGCTGTCTGGGCAAGGGGCTGATGGTGTGGACAGGAGGCAGTGACTGACCCAAGGGTTGGAGCACTTCTGCTATGGAGACAGACCGAGAGCTGGAGTTGCTCAGCCTGGAGAAGAGAAGGCTCTGGGGAAACCTTGGAGCACCTTTCAGAGCTTAAAGGGGCTCCTAAAGAGGCTCCAAGAAGTCCTGGAGAGGGACTTCACACAAGGGCCTCAAGTGACAGGGCAAGGCAGAACACAAGCTTCACACTGACAGAGGGCAAGGTTAGATTAGATATTAGGGAGAAATTCTTCCCTGTGATACTGAAGGGGCCCTGGCACAGGCTGTCCAGAGAAATATGGCTGCCCCATCCCTGGAAGTGTCCAAGGCCAGGTTGGATAGGGCTTGGAGCAGCTAGACTAGTGGACAGTGTCCCTGCCTGTGCCAGGAGGCTGAAACAAGATGGGTCTTTAAGGTCCCTTCCAACCCAGCCCATTCTGTGATTCTGTGGGGCTCTGCTCTGGGGTGTGGGGTCCCCATGGTGTGGGCAGAGTGGGGCTCTGCTCCCCGCTGCGATCAAGGCTTGACTGCTGCTCTGAGGACCTTGTGTGGTTTGTGTGGGGGCTGCTGTGCCTGGGCACATTCCCTCCTTGTCCAGCTCACACTGCCTCTCCTCTCTCCACACAGGTTTGGCACATGGAGGAATCCAGAATCTCAGCTTCAAGAAGAGTGCACATGACTTTGTACGGAGCTTTTCCTGATAGTCCACTACACTCATTGTATAACCTTACACCTTGATTGAATGCCTTTGGTCACTAAGCTTTGCGTCTGACTCTTCCTCCTTGTATCGTGTTTTTATGTCTTTTTAAACTATACACCGTAAACCTCAACTCTTTTTGGGTCAAGTTCTTAATCTTATTTTTGTTCCAGGTGTAGACTATGTTTTCCCAGTAGCACGCAGATGGGCTGACCTTAGATAGGAGTCATTTGAACAAAAGGAATCCTGTTAGTTAATAGTTTTGGTGCAGATGTATGGTGTTTCCAAACCAGAAATTGCTGCTGCTGCAAAAGCCATAGCAGAGTGAGGTTGTCGAGGCTGAAGGGATGCAGAGAGCAAGGTAGCACTAGGATTGTTTATAGGAATTTTGTCTGGAGTGGGACAGCGAGGGAGCCTGGCCTTTCCCTGCTCCCTGGGGAGCATCACTGTGGGCGTTGTGGGTTTGCTCTGGGAAAGGAGGGCTGCTCTGCCCCTGCTTCACCCTGCCATCTCATGGTGGGCCTGCCTTCCCCTCCAGACCTCTTTTGGATTTAGGGAGTTGGGTTTCCACCAGAGCTCCGCCACACCCGGAAAATCCCGTAGCATGGAGCTTTCTTTAAAGAAAAAGGAAAACTGGACAAAGGGAAGGTGCTGTCTGCAGGGGAGGTGGTGGGGGCTCAACTCAACAAAAACTCTGTCCTCCTCCTTCCCCGTGGAAAGGAACCATCAGCTCCCCATTGTCCCTGCTCTGAGCACACCTGCCCATTCTCTCCTGCCACCTGATGCTGGTCATCGCTGCTTGCCTGTTCTCCCAGGACGCATAGCTGTCCCCTGTGCCCCTCCCTCTGCCCTGCCCAGTCCGTTGGTAACAGAAATTCCCGCCGGTCACTTCCTTCTCTCCGCCGCACAAAGGTATCCAGTTTATTATCGCAATAAAAACGCTTTATGCTGGCTTTTCTCAGCCCTGTGTCCTGGAGGTTCTTCCCTCGCCCGTCTGTCGCTCAGCACAGCAGGGGCTGGGCTGGGCTCAGGGGGGGCCGTGTGGGGTGCTGTGGGTGCTGCTCTGGGCTTGTGGGTGCTGTGCCAGGCTCATGGGGTGCTTTGGGTGCTGTGCCAGGGTTGTTCTGCTGTGCTGCTGTGCCTTAGTGTGGGGCTCGGGTGCTCAGCCCTGGGAGCACAGTAGGATGCCTGGGGCTCCTGTGCTCTGTGGACAGGTGATGGTGGCCTGCTGGTATTTGCATAATTAATTGCCTCACCATAATCTGTTAAGTGTTGCCCTCACAACCTCATGCCCTTGTGGCTCTGACTCAGCCTGGACTGGAAGCATGAAGGATACATGGATGCATGTTCCCATGGTCCTTGCTTCCAGGGAAGCCTTTCCTTGCACCTTTCTGTATTTATTTCAGTCCTTTTGGAAAGCTGGACATGGCACATGGGGCACAGCACATCACCTGCTTTGGGCTTTGCTGCTGCAGCTGTGGGTGTTGGACGTGCTCAGGCACCACCGTGGGCCAGTGCCTGGTTCCTCTGCCGACAACCTTTGATCAGTGTGCCACAACTGATAACACGGCCATGATCAATAACAGCCTGTCCCAGCTGCCAAGCAAAGTTTGTGTGTAATGGGTCCTGGAGGGAGCAGTGCCCTGGGGCAGGAGCAGCTCAGCCATTGGGGTGCATCCAGGAGCACTGGGACTTGCACAGGGCCGTGCAGGAATTAGCACTGCCTTTAATTGTGGCTCAGCTAAGCAGAACAGGAGCTCGTGGGGCACCAGCACCCTGCTCTGTCCTTTGCTGGGGCTGTTTCTGGGTGGAAGCTTGAGGCCAGTTTGCATTTCTCTTCCTGCAAAGCTTTTTGCTTTAATTATTAACCAGTGCCAGGCAGTGCCATGGCTTCTGGCTGGGGCTAAGCCAGGGCAGGGGGGAGGCTGAGGGAAGCCCCTGCCCTTGGGCCCTCAGCCCCTGCACAGCTCCTGAAGCATCCATGAGTGCAGGTGGGGTGGGAGTCCTTACAGCTGTGGTTTTGTGGGGATGAGGGTTTCAGGAAATGAACAGCCTCCAGGAAACAATCCCCTCTGTCTGTAGGACTCTCTTTGCCGCTGCCATTCAGGCTGTTCTTGTCCTGGGCTGGTCAAGGCAGCTGGGCACGATCCAGCTAAAAATAACACCAGTAAATAAAACACTTCCTCCTGGCCTGGCAGGCTGGAGGCACAGGGAGCTGGGACAGGCCTGGCTGCGGCTCCGCACTGGGACTGGCCCCGTGCCGGGGAGATCTGGGCTGGTGTCACCAGGTCCAGGCCTGCCCAAGCGCCCTCAGCATCCCCCTGCCCAGCCCCTGGGGACACAGTGGCCCATCCTCAATGCCAACAGCAGAATGTCACCGCTGGCTGCTGCAGGGCTGGATCCCCAGGTGACATGGTGATGGCCCGTGGCAGCAGGATGCCACGGCCACCCCGTGCTGAGCTGGGTGCTGGCTCAGTTTCTCCACCTGCAGCATGGGACTCCCAGGCCTGGCATGTGTCCCAGGTGACGGCTGGAAGGGTGTGGGACACGGGATCCCGGTCACGGCCGCGTCAGCCCCACGCGCCAGGGCAGCGAGGTGTCAGCAGGAGCCACCACCCACGCAGGGATCACGGTGGGGAACCCCCTTCACCCCCAGCAGGGCCTGTGGAGCCCAGGAAGGATAATGGGGGAGGGGGAGCCAGTTGGGGGGCCGAGCCCCATGCTGGGGGTGGCAGGAGAGGTGATGCAGTGGTGGTGGGGGGGCACCATGGGGGGGTACAGTCCCATCCCTGCTCCCCCAGGATGCCCAAACCTACAGAAAGCCATCCCAGTCCCCATTCCAAGCTCTGTCCCATCCCTGCCGTGCCAGGGCTCTGTGCATTGTTGCCTTCATCTTCCTCTTCCTCACCCGTGCCCTACCTGGCGGGGGTGCAATCAGCTGAGGCTGTCTGGCCCCTCCCTGGGCTGGGCCCGGCTATAAAACCCAGGGGCCAGGCAGAGGGTGTCACAAGGATCTGGGAGCTGTTGGCAGGTGAGTCCAGGGGTGCCAGGGTTGGACTTGGGGGCTCTTGTCTGTTGGATGCTGCTGCTATCCCTGGGCTGCAGGTGGGATCCTGCCTGGTTCCCACAGGGCTCAGAGCTGGGTCTGGATTTGGTCCCTACACAAGGAGTTTTGGATTATGCTTTTTGGGGCACAAGATGTCATAGAGTAGGTTTGGGGGGCACAACATGAGGTGCAGAGGGGGCTGCTGGTGTGTAAGGGGCTGTTCCCATGGGACATCTCCCTGCTGTGTCTGGGTAATGCTGGAATGGCCCCACTGGCCATGGGGAGCAGAGGGGTCTGATGAGGGGCAGAGGGGCCATTCCCATGGGATATCCCACTCCCCTGTCTGGGTGGTGTTGGGATGGCTCTGTGGGGCAGGTGGACACGGGGAGCAGGACCTGCCCGGCACACAGCCATCCATGCCCCAGCCAGCAGGAAGTGGCGGTGGTGGTGACCCTGGTGACATAGCCTTGAGTCACACTGGAGATTCCAGGTGACAGCCCATCTCCGGTACATGGGCTGGGAGGGATGCTTGGAGAGAGGCAACCCAGTCCTTGAACCGGCCTGTCCCTGTCCCCAGACAGCAGCAGCGATGGCAACACTCTACCCCTCCCTGGAGGACATGAAGGGCCACCAGGTCCTGCAGGTCAGTGCCAGCTCAGCAGTGTGACAGGGGGTGAGCAGACCCCAATGGGTCCCTGTGGGGTCTCACAGAGGGTCCCCAGGATGGGGGGCACAGCACTGAGCACCCTGTCTCTTGGCAGGCCCAGGCAGCAGCCGGGGTGAGGACCCCTGCCACCACAGTGGTCACAGAGAAGCCGAAGCTCACCTCAGGCACTGGTAAGGTGGGACATGATCAGGTCACTGTGCAGGGGCTGTCTGGGTCGGCAATGATGCTCAGTTTGGGGAGGGGGTGAGTGGCTCAGCTGAGACCCCCCCACAACTCAGTGCATGGGTTGGGGATGGGATTTTGGGGTCTCTTTGTATTGGCCCATGGTCCCAGGGGACTCCTGGGATGAAGGGGGCAATGGCTGTGGGTTGTGGGCCCCAGGAGCTGAGACCACCCTCGGTATGTCCCTCAGAGCCTCCTGTGCTGTACCCCAACCTAGCCGAGCTGGAGAACTACATGGGGCTGGCGCTCTCCAGCGAGGAGATCCAGAAGAACCTGCGCACTGAGGACAGCACCGTAGGTGTCTGGGCTGGCAGCTCCCTGCCCCACATGGCTCCCCATGCCATGACAGGGGTCCCTCTGGCTCCTCATCCTGCCTGGGAAAGGGATGCAGCACTCCCAAGGGCTGAGGTGCACAGGGCCCTGTGTCCCCCTGTCCCCACTGACCCCCAGCTCCCCCGCAGGCACTGACCCCCGTGGGGCCCTCCCCAGGCCAGCTGGTCGCCCCCCTGAGCGGGAACAGCGCGGGGCTGCGGCGGGCAGAGATCAAGCCGGGGGTGCGGGAGATCCACCTCTGCAAGGACGAGCGGGGCAAGACGGGGCTGCAGCTGAAGAACGTGGACCAGGTGAGGGGCTGGGCTGGCATGGGGCTGGCATGGCACGGGACCGTGTCACGGCATGATGTGACACGGCACAAGCGTGACAGTAGAGCACAGCGTGCCATGGCAGCGTGTCATGGCATTAAATGTCACAGCACACAGCAGGGGGCAGATGGCATGGCACGGCATACCATGGTGCGTGGCATGGCTGATCCCTGTGCCAGCCCTGTGCCACCACTCCGCTGTGTCCCCAGGGCATCTTCGTGCAGCTGGTGAAGGCCAACTCGCCCGCAGCGCTGGTGGGGCTGCGCTTCGGGGACCAGGTGCTGCAGATCGACGGCAAGAACTGCGCGGGCTGGAGCAGTGACAAGGCACAGCGCGCGCTGAAGAAGGCAAACCCTGAAAAAATCGTCATGGTGGTGCGGGACAGGTGAGCGGGGGTGGCACCGGCGCTGGTGGCAGCGCCGGTGGCAGCACTGATGGTGCTCTCCCCACAGGCCTTTCCAGCGCACCGTGACCGTGCACAAGGACAGCACCGGCCACATCGGCATTGTGGTGAAGAAGGGGAAGATTGTGTCCCTGGCCAAGGACAGCTCGGCCGCCCGCAACGGGCTCCTCACCCACCACTGCATCTGCGAGGTGAACGGCCAGAACGTCATCGGCATGAAGGTAGGGCGGTGCCCTGGTGGTGCAGGACATGCCTGCGGAGTCCAGGATGTGGCCAGAGAATCCAGGAGGGAGGGGGATACTGAGCAAAGCTGGGCACCCCACGGACCCCCCTCTCTCTCCTGCAGGATAAGCAGCTCACGGAGGTGCTGGCAGGGGCTGGGAATGTGGTGACACTGACCATCATCCCCACTGTGATCTACGAGCACATGGTCAAACGGTGAGAATGTGGGGCTGCAAGGACCCCCACACCCCACAGGGACCCCCGGGTCCCCCCCACTGACCTCCCTTCCCTCTGCTCAGGCTCTCATCAGGGCTGGTGAAGTCGTCCATGGACCACTCCATCCCTGACCTGTGACACCATCGCTGCTGTTCTGGGAGCTGATGCTGGAAGCCCAGAGGGCCTGCTGAGAGGACCCCACAGCACCTCCAAAGGAGCTGTTTCAGCACAAAACCCCTTATCCCCTCAGAGTCTGGTGGCTGCTGGGTGGTTCCTCCTCTCCTCAGCAAGGATGGGGCAGATGTCCTGTACCAGCATCCCACTGTCCCCGTGTCCCTGCTTAGGCCACCCCCCTCCGGGCGGATGCCAAGGGCTGGCTCCAGCCGAAGCAGACACAGACCCAGCAACATTTATTACATCCACCACAGAGAGCGAGTACAGGACAGGGGAAACAAGAAGAGGGGGGTTACAGCTTTTTCAGTTCTGTATTTAAAAAATATATTATATAGATTTGTCTTTCAAATATAGTCGTTACATTTATTTCTTGGCAAAGCTTTGGATAGCCTAACAGACGTGTACACAGATCCACAAATACATTGCACGAGAGGCGAATATCCCAGCTCCGCTTACATCTGCCCCGGCTGCCTGAACACTGCTGCTCCCCACATCCATTTCCTGGCACCTGGTGCTGTGCTGGTGGCAGAGCTGCTGTCCCCACTGCCCCCCAGCACAGGCAGAGCCAGCAGAAGGGGGATGCAGGAAGTGTGGGGCACACAGGATGTAGCACGTGCCCCTCTGGGGACCACTGGACATCGGCGTGTGGAGCATCACCGTGCCAGGGCACCTGGCTGGTGGCACCCATGGGTGGGGGAGTGGGATTGGGTTGGGGTTGGGGGAAACACTGTTAGTTCAAGTCACGAAGAAACCACAGACATTCGTGGGGTGGGAGTGCGGCACGCCCGGGGGAGCCCCAAGTCCCGCGCCCCAACAGCCCCGCTGAGCAATCCTTGCTGTCTTTGTGTTTCAACAACAAAAAAAAGGCATTTTTCCGGAGGCCGCCAGCAAAGCGGGGGTTTGGGTGGGCAAAGGGCTTGGCTCTGCCTGCACGGCACTGCCCGCACCCCAGCAAAGGCATCCGAGCTCCAGCCCGAGGTGGGATCACCGGCATCGCGGCCACCAGAACTGCAGCAGCCCCCGGCCCGCCCCGTGGCAGCCAGAGTCCCAACAGCCGGGCTTCAGTCTGTACCCAAAACAAAGTGAATATAGTGCAAAGCAAAGGGAGGGAGAGCCCACGGCTTCCTCGGGGGGCTCCGTGCGTGAGCTGCAGCCCAGTTCCATCCCAGTGTGGGGAGGCATCTCCTAGGAAATGGGGGGCTGGCCTGAACCGCTCTGGAGCTGACCCCTGTGTCTGGACAGGACCCCCATCCCCCTGCCCACAGACAGACACTGCACCTGGAGCAAGGAACCGCTGCATCCCCAGCGCTCCACGCTGCCAGTGGCTCCTCGCCATCACTGGCCGGCCCCGGCGACAAACAAGAAGCAAGTGCGATGGAGGGAGAGCCCCCATGGTGGGTGCAGCCCCACAGCCCCCACAGCCAGAGGCACAGGCAGGGGTGTCCATCAGCGGGGGGTGACGCTGGGTGCCAACACCCATCTTCCAACAACGGTTCCTTCCCTCCTCCAGGAGCAGGGCGGAGGGCAGCACACCTGGATGCACCCAGGGACCCCTCGGCCCCTTCCCACCCGCCAGTGCCACGCCGGGGCTTTACAATCAGCAGTCGGGTCCGTGGGGCGGGTGGAGGGCGTTGGAGGGGTCAGGGCTGGGCAGAGCCTCCAGGCCCGGGGCTGGCGACGGGGCGACAGCCCATCCTGCGGATGGAGTGCAGGGCGACGGTGCAGCAGCCCCTCAGCAGCGAGCTGATGTTGTAGATGGGCTGGCCCTGCCGCCGCTGCGAGCGGCACAGCCAGGCCACCGTGGGCACCGCCGGCACCACCACCGCCAGCAGATCCACGATGAAGTGGCGGCTCCAGTAGCTCTTGGAAGGGTTGGTCTCGCAGCCGGTCACCTCCATCAGCTCCTCCTCCGCCACGCAGGCGATGGCCACCGAGGGGCTGGCGCTGGGGGGCTGCCGCACCGCCGGGTTGCAGGGGACACCCCCCTCGGCACCGGCAGCCGCCGTGGCGGCGTCGGGCTCGGCCACCATCAGGTCCGTGGTCCCGCTGGGGTTGGCGAGCTCGGGGACGGGCATCGTGTCTTCCATTTCAGAGACCCAGGCCGAGGTGGGGCTGCCCAAGCTGCAGGCCTGGGACTTCATCACCTTCTCTAGGATGGTGTCCAGGTCGGGCTGGCAGGGCACAAAGTCCGTCTGGATGGCCCGCTCCTGCATGCAGCTGGCCTGCACCCCTGCCTCCACGCTGCTCCGCAGTCCCAGCACCTTCTCGTAGGTGTTGCTGGGGGGCAGGCGGGTGCCGGGCTCACCCCCCACCTCCAGCGGGTCCGTGTGGCCCGGAGCCTCCTCCATCCCCACGAAGCCGCTGTCGGCCCCCTCGTCCAGCGAGATGGTCTGCGAGCCCCCCACGTTGCGGTCCCCGGCTCCCTGGTCGCTCAGCTTGGTGTAGGTGGAGCTGCGGGTGAGGGACCGGGCCGGGGACCCCCCGGCTGACTCCCCGGCACCCTCCTCCTTCGGCGCCCCGTTCTGGGCCACCTCCATGCTGTGCAGCAGCGTCTCCAGCTTCTTGTTCTGGATGTTAATGTCCACAAAATACTTTTGGAGGCCTTTGTCCTTCTCCAGGAGGTTGTTCTTCACTGTGTCGATGACCTGCTTCAGCTGCTTGATCTCCTTGCGAGCCTCTTTGAGCGCCAGCTGGGCCTCCACGCGGTGGCACTCCTCCTCGATCCAGTCCTCCTGCATCCGTGACAGCTGCGTCTTCAGGTCCTCGATCTCAGCATCCCTGCAGAGACGGAAGGGACAGCCCTGTCCTCGTGTGCCCAGCACTGGCAACCAGATCACCCAGTAACACTCCCAGCTGGGAACAAGGGATGGATCCAGTGATTTAGGGACCCTCAGGAGTGATGCTCAGGGAGCCTCCGAGTGTTGCTCAGGGAGCCTCAGGAGCAATGTTCAGGACCCCTAGGAGTGATGCTTAGGGACCCTCAGAAGTGACACTCGGGGACCCCAAGGACGGATGCTGAGGGACCCTCAGGAGTGATACTCGGGGACTCTCAGGACTGATGCTTGAGGACCCTCAGGACTGATGCTCTGAGCCTGTTTGGAGCAGTGGGAGCTCAGGGATCCCTGCGAGTGACACTCGGCCTTCTCCCCGAGCGGCTGCAGCACCCAGGTCTCCTGAGGGCTGCGTGGGGTGGGCAGGTGCCCCGAGCAGCCACGTGGCAGCTGGCACGGCAGCGGGGCTGTGCCTAAGCCTGAGAGGAGCAGATGGGGATTAGCCACCCTCTGACGCTGAAATTCAGCAAAAGCATGGCAGGGATTTAAACATGGTGAGGGGAGAACGCAGCCACTGCAGGTGCAACGTGGGGCTCTCCAGCCCCCAGATCTGCAGCTCCCAGGTGGGACAGGCAGCAGTGCCAGATCCCACACGCCACCAGTGCCGTGGTACAGCTGTGACCTCGGTCCCTGGGCACAAGCATGAGGACAAGGTGCCATGCTGGGGACTGAGAACACAGAAGGACCAGTCCCAGCCAGGAGCTGCCACAGCAGGTGGCGATGGCTGGTGCTGGCACCCTTCCCCTGAGCTCACCTGTCCTGCAGCCGCTCCTGTGTGTCCTTCAGGCGAGCCTTCAGGTGCCGGATGCAGACCTCCTTCTGCTGCAGGGGTGTCAGGTACTGCTCCGGCGTCGGTGGCTTTATCCCATGGTTGTCACTGCAGAGGTTGTACTTGGACGAGCGCCTGCAGGGACACAGATGTCACCCACTGCCAGTGCCAGGGTCAGCACAGGCTTGACCCAGGGGTTCTAAGGCCTGCTCTAGGGGTGCAGCCCCATAATACATCTCAAAGGAGCCCTGAGAGCAGGAGGGGCAGGGTGGGTGCATGAGGGTGCTGTGCCCTGGTGAGAAGGGCAGTGTGGGTGTTTTGTGTGCTGTGCCTCTGGCAGGACAGACAGGGTGGGTGTCTTCGGTGCTGTGCCCGGCAGGAGGGTGGGTGCAGCTCCTGGACACACCGGTGCTGCTGTCAGTGCTGAGTGCTCTGTGGTGCTGGGGGCTTTGCTGGGCCATGAGCAGACCCAGGGCCACCAAGGTCTCTGCGTGCCCAGAGTGACCTGCCTAGAAACAATTGATGTGGATGGAGACCCCAGGGTGGGATCGGGCCCCCAGAGATGGAGGCACAAGATGGGGAATGGAAGGGTTTGGGATGGAGCAGGTCTGGAGATGGTGGCTGTCCTGCCCATGGGGAGCAAGCCAGGGAATCCAGCATCTGCTCTGGGCTGGGCCAGCAGCACACTGGACTCTCCTTATGTCACCACTGGTACTGGGGCAGATGAAGTGACATCTCTGGCCCAGAGACAGGGACAGTGCAGGGAGCAGGGGCTGGACAGGGACAGGGCTACATGGCCAAGCTGGGAGGCACGTGGAGAGCTGGGAGCTGCAAGAGTGGCTCTGGCACGGCAGTGGGGGGACCAAACTCCCTGTGAATGGAAAGGAGGCATCCCAAAGCTCCCCTGCATGGTGTCCATCAGCCCAGCAGCCTTTAGCCATGTCCAGAAGCATTGTGTGAGAAGCATCCATGCCTTGGAATGCCCCATGGCAGCGGGAAGGCCACTGTCCCTGGCTGCAGCACGCATGGCACCTGCTCACCATGTCACCCTGGGGCCCCTCAGATCCTCCCAGGATGATTCCACCTCCGGGAGCTGGCAGGGGGCAGGGGACAGGAGGTGACAGCAGTGCACCTCAGGCTGCTGTGCCTGCAGGGCTGGGGCTGTTTGTGCCCTGAACACACCCCGAGCTCCCTGCTGAGAAGCCAGGGGGCCACCAGCTCTTGCCAAACCTTTGCTGGGCAACACAAGGGGATGGAAGCGAAGCTCTTGCCCGCGTGCCTTTGGTCTGGAAGGATCCTGGTGCTCCTTGGAATGCGGGAGTGGCGGGAGGGAGCGTGCAGCGTGCAAGCCACAGCCACAGCAGGACGGAGGGAAGAGGACGGGGATCCCTGGGTGGCAGGCGGGGGGACAGGGAGGGACACGACACAACAACAGAGAGGTTTGGAGGAGGAGGAGGGTAGTGAGGGTCTCTGGAGACACACCAGCAGCTCCGCCAGCTCCGGCTCCCCCAGCCACCAAGCCTCGCTGCAGCGGCCCTGCGCTCCTGTCCCCGCCGGGCACCGGCAGCACCGGGACTGCTCCCCCTGCCCGGGGGCACCCAGCAGCCGCCCTGGGGCCACGGGTGATGGGTTACCTTGGGGTGGGGCTGCTGTCGCTGCCCTTGCAGGAGCCAGAATTGCTGCTGCTGCTCAGCGAGGAGGTGCCGTAGGTGTCCCTCCCGGGGGGCGAGGGGCGCCTGGAGGCAGGGAGAAGAGGCTGTGTCTCAGGCCGAGTGGCTGAGGGCGCTGAAGACTTAAAGAAGGAGGCAAAGCCACTCCGTCCATAAAGCCCGCGACTGCCAACCACCACACCGAGAACACACAAGACAAAAGGACAAAACAAACAGCAGGGATCAAAATTGCACGGACATGGCGACGGGCACAAAGGCTGGCTGGGGGGGATGTCCACCCGCTCCCCCTTCCCTGGCGTGGCAGCCCATGGATGCTGGCACAGCATCCTTGCACCCTGAGGACCTTGGGAGCCCCTGGAATCCCCTTGGAAGGCCTTTGGGAGCCCCATAAGAGTCCCCTGGGAGCGTGGTCCCAGCATAGCTCGAGCCACACCTGCCAGAGCATCACCTAGACACGGGCAGCTCTGCCTCTTCTCCAGGTCCAGGTCATGGAGACATTGGGAGGGGAATAAATGCTTTTTCTCTCTCTTTCTTTCTTTACCACTCAGCTCAAGGAGACATTTTCCAAGGGCTAACATACCTCCCAGTTTCACTGCCCCAACCCAGTGCTCTCCACCACTGCCTGCCTTCGCCTGGACGGACGGAGGGGTCGGTCCTGGCTGTGGCACAGACGGACAGAGGGACAGGGCGTGCAGCACTCGGGGAGCTGCATGCACGGCCAGGGAAGTGCTGTGCAGCGGGCAGTGCCATGCAAACCCCCGAAAGCCGGGCTGGGGGTTCGTGCTGCGAAGTGGCAGCTGCTGGTGGAGGTGTGGGGATCGTGGGGATCGTCTCATCCCGGCTGCAGGCGCTGGTGTCCAGTCCCGAGGCCAGAGGCTGAAGCATATTCACCTTCGGGATCCTGTGGAGGCGCGTCTGCTCCCCGGCACGGACATGGCCGCGGTGCCACGGCTCCTGGGCACAGGGAACTGCGGGCAAAGGCAACAGAGAGAGCAGGTGAAGGCAGGAAAACGGCCCTGATGAGATGGGGCCCCTGTGGGGTGAGCCCTGGCACCAGGGTATCAGTGTAGTCCCCAGGGCCACCAGTACAGGGACAGATGAGGATAGCATCCCCTGCACATCTGGGCTGTGCTTCCCCCTTCTCTCCCATAGCCCAGAAGTGCCGGAATGCTGCATGGCTGTGGTCCCACCGGGATCCTGTGGGCACAGGGCAAGGGTGTTCTTAATTTGAAAGGCAGATCAGAAGCAGAGCAGGTGCCTGCCCATGGTCTGGAGCCTCTTTTCTCATCATGGGACAAGCTCCCCACTGCTCCCAGATCCCCATCCCTGTCAGGAAGCAGGGTAATGCCACAGGGAAAACAGAGTGCCTGCAGTGGGGCCATTACTGGGGGCAGGGATGGTACAAGAGCTCTGCCCCAGCCATGGAGCTCCCCGGGCAGACAGCTCTCCCTGCAGTGGGCTGGGTGCCTGCTTTTCCTTAATTAAGTGCAAATCCCCCATTCAGCAGTGAAATCAGGTGAGGAAGAACAGATCCCTGCATGATGAGGCAGCAGCTGCTAATCCCTAGGGAAACACAGAGCCCGCTTTCCTGCAAATAAATAGGCCAGATCCAGAGGCTCACAGCACCTCGGGCACACGCAGGGTGTGAGGGAGCAAGGGAAGCATCTGCTCAGCATCCACATCCTGCCGAGCATCCCATGGCAACACTGGGATCCCCACTGTGCTCCCAGACTGCCAGAGACCGACGGGGATGGGGGCAGCATGGGGGCCCCCCATCCCCAGGCCTGTTCACAATGCCAGCATTTATCTCAGATTTTGGCAGAGCAATGCAGGAGATGGGACCTGCCAACAGAGGATCGATGGGTGACAGGAAACACTCCAGGCTGCTGGCCCTGCTCCAGGGGAATGCAAGGAGTGGGACAACAGGGGAGGCAGAACAGGAAGGGGGGCACATCCAGCTCACCCCAGTGCAGCCTTCTACATTTGCACCCCCAGGTTATTTATTTTTTTTTCCCAGGATACCTCAAAGCCCACCCTGGCCAGCTCAGGTCCCTCCTGTCCAGGATTTGCTGCTCCCTGATCCCAAAAATCCCAGAGCACCAGTGCTGTGAAGTCCCAGGTCCCAGCAGGAACAGTGCCCCACGACAGAGGGGTGCCAGCACCCCTGAGACACTGCAAGATTGATGTGGGGATCCTGCTGCTCCCACCTGGGATGGATTTGCCTGGAGATGACCTGGGCAGGGGAAGGCAGAGTTCTGTCCTGCTGGATCACTGCTCCCAAGTGGGCAGCAAGCTCTGCCACTGCAGCAGCGTGAATCAGCATCCCCCAAGAGCCTCAGGCTGGCAGGAGCATCCTCCAGGACTCTCTGTCACCCTCCAGCAGCGCCACACTGGGCTGCAGCACAGCCTGGACTCCAACAGCTCTTGAGCAGGGATTTAGGGAGATTTGAGAGGGCTGATTCCTCACCCTCTGCCCTGCAGTCCAGTGGTATCTGGTATTATCCCAGGTGTGCCCATCATCAGCTCAGCTGTACCTGGATCTTCCCCACTCATGTCAAGGTCACCCTCATGCCACACTGCTCTGTGCAGGGGTTCCTCTGTGCCCCACTGACACCAGCACGTGCCAGCACTGCAGATGGCATGTGTGTGTCCAGCACATGGGCTCCTGAGAGCACCCCACAGCACACCCCAGGCACTGCTGCCAGCATCTCAGCCTGGAATGGCTCTGTGGAGACACCTGCATTTGGCCTCATGTCTGGGGACCTCATTTCCTCCTCCTCCTCCTCCTCCCACTGCTGCAGACTTGCCTGGTGCCCACACCAAGCCTTGATTCCTCCCACAGCACCCAGGGTGTCTGGAATTTAATCAGTGATAATAAATTGTCATTATTCCCAAAGGATCAATGGGCCACTTCGATCTTCCCCAGGAGGCCTCACTGTGCCCACAGGTAGCCCAGGACAGGGAGGGTGGGCAGATCCAGCACCAAAGCTGAACACACACCTTCCCACGTGGTAGGTGGATACTAAAGGCAGGGGAAATCACAGATCTGCACTCAGAATTACCCCATCAGATGGACCAGGATGAGTAGCTGCAGCACCAATGGAGCCCCTCCAGGAAAGCAAGGGGAAATCCAGGATTAACCCTGGTCTAGTGGGTGGCAACTCTGCCCATAGCAGGGGGTTAAAAAGACAGAATGGGTTGGGTCGGAAGGGACCTTGAAGACCATTCTCATTCCAGCCCTATTCCATGGGCAGGGACACCTTCCACTCTCCCAGGTGTTCAAAGCCCTGTCCAACCTGGCCTTGAACATTTCCAAGGATGGGGCATCCACAGCTTCTCTGGGCAACCTGTGCCAGGGCCTCACCATCCTCACAGAGAAGATTTTTTTTCCAAATATCCCATCTAACCCTGCCCTCTGGCAGTGGGAAACCACTCCCTGTGTCTTGCCACTCTGTGTCCTTGTCCAAAGTCTCTTTCCAGCTCTCTCAGAACCCCTTTAGGCACTGGAAGAGGCTCTGAGGTCTCATCAGAGCCTTCTGTTCTCTACCAGCTCTCTCAGGCTGTCTGCACAGCAGGGGTGGCCAGGGCCATTCATGGACCAAGACGAAGGTGACTTGGGGGGCACTGCTTTGTCCCCATACTGGGGGAGCAGTGGGACCCTGCTCAGCACAGACCTGTGTGTCTGCCCCTCCTGCCTGGGAGTGCCAGCATGGGCCAGGGCCCGACACCCCAACTCACACCAAATCCAGAGATTGTCCTACAAACCACCTGCATGTGGTCCAGCACCCTGCAAATCCCCTAAAACGCAGCTCGAGGGCTGAGCAGGACACTGCCCATTGCAAAGATCAGGGTGTAGCTGGTGCTGCCGACAGCCAAACTCCCTGTGAGTCTCCCAGCACGTGTGGAGCAGCAGGGCAGAGCTTTTACAAACAACAGCACGAACCAGGGTTTGTTCCAGGCAGTGGAATTAGCCTGGAGAATTCCTGATAAATAAAAGCAATGGGCCTTGAGAAGGAAACAGCTGGAGCTGCAGCAGGAGAAAGCAGATCCACCACAAATGGCTGGGATGCAGAATCAGGACAAGTCCCTACACTGCCACTGTCCGGGGGGGTGACACCACAGGGCTCATCTTCTGGTGGGTCCCCAGCTGAACTGCTGATCCCACTGGGACAGTGCTGGATGGCAGAGCAGTGACAGAGCAGTGACAGAGGGGGGGCTCAGCCCGGTGCCCCACAGGAAGATTTCCCCAGGCTCAGCTGGATCACTGCCCCACAGAGATGCTTCTTGGCCCCAAATCCTGCTACTTCCCCACTCCTTGCTGCTGGTGTGTCTCCACAGACCCTCACTACCCTCCTCCTCCAAACCTCTCTGTGCCCCACTCCACAGCCAGGATCTCCTGGCTGTGCCAGTGATGGACAAACTAGGCTGGGTAGGCATGGCCCTCCCTAGATGTTTCTCACATGGCAAACAGGGACACAGAACCTCTGGAGAAACCCTCACCACTGACTCAGTGAAGCCTCCAATGGTTCCTCTGAGAGTTTCATGGCTGCAGGCTCAAGAGTTTGCTCCCATCAGCTTCCAAAGCTCAGCTTCTGCGGGATTCAGAGGGATCCGGCTGCTCCCAGCTCACCCCATCCTCACAGGGAACATGGAGAAGGTGTGAGAGCCTGCAGCTCACTGCCAGTGTCAACCCTCAGCACAACACTGCTGTGCCAGCAGCTGCCACATTTCCCTGGATTTCTCGCTCGCTGCTTCCTTTGTCGAGGCTCCCATCATCCTGCCTGCTGCCGGATTCCTGTGTTTCCCTTGGCACATCCTGTGCGAGGAATCTTTTGCAATGGTGGCACTGAGCCCAAGTGTCTGAGAGCAGCTTCACCCACTGCAGAGACCTGGCAGAGGAGCCATGGTGTCCCCATGGGTCCCTTGGGATGGACAAGATTAAAAGCAGAGGGAACACAGAGAGGGAAACCACAGCTTTGTTTTTCCAGGGGACAAAAAGGGCTCTCAAGGACCTACCCTGCCTTCCTGACACCAGCTCTGCTTTTCTACACTCTACAAAAAAGCAAAGTGCTGGATGTGGCCAACAACCAGCAGCTGATGTGGGGCAGAGCCCTTTCTCCTGGATAGTGGCAAGGCCAGGGCTGCTTGCACTGGAAAAGAGACTGGGATACAGCTGGGTCACAATGGGAAAGAGCAGGATCCAGCAGCCAGGGGTGGCAGAAGTCCTGGTGCAGGAGGGGGTCAGCACTTGGGGCCACCACCTGGGCAGTTGGGGACAAACATCCATACAATGTCCTCCTCCTGCCATAGGGGATTTTTGGGATAAGGGATTGCTTTGCTTTTGCTCCAAGAAGATTACAAGGATGTGGCAATATCTCCAGAGACTGGGAGCCTGTGCTCCAGTGCAGATGGGTTCATCCCAAAGCTTCACCTGGGTCCCAGGCAGAGGGAGATCGTGGAATCACAGACCCATTTAGGTAGGAAAATACCTTTAATACCTTCAAATCCAACTCCTTACCCAGGACTGCCCAACCACCACTAAATCCAGCTCAGGACAGAATTGAGTGCTCGGGGCACAAGCTAAGACAAACCCCATGGAGTGTTTATGCAACACCACCAGAAAAATCAATGTGCTCAGAGTGGCTGTATCCCATTCCAAAAGGCAGGAGCACCTCCTTTTATTCTCCTGTTTGTTATAAAACGCTGAGTTGACATCCAGAGATTACAGGAAAACAGACACCATTTGGAAAGCTCGGGTTATGCAGCTCATCACTTTTCCAGCTGACCTGGCTGCAACTCCAAATGGAGAGGTGGCAATTCCCAGCCCTCATTAGCTAAAAATAAGGTGCTTGGCCAGAGGGCAAAGGCTGGGCTCTCGCTGGGGACTCTGGAGCCAAATGGAAATGGGAAAAGAGCTCCATGACAAGTGTTGTAGCAGCATGAGAACAGGAGTGGGACACCCAGGATTCAGACCCTGCGGTGTCACCCAGGCCAGGAGTGTCAGCAGGGTGGGATGGAGGTGACATCCCACTGCACAGCCCATCCTGCAGAGGTGCTCTGGCAGGAGCCGAGCTGAGCTGTGCGAGGCAGAAGGAACAGCCCCACTCCTTTGAGATACAAAGGCAAAAACCTGGAAGACAAACCCAGCTTCCAGTGCAGCAGCTCCACCTGCCCCCCGTGCCTCGCCGGCGGAAGCAGGTCTCCCCTAACCACCATCCACCTTGAGCCAGGCCTGGAATGACGGCGGTGCCGGGGGATTAGCCCTGGTCTCCACACCGCTGGAGTGGCCTACTTTAACCACACACCACATCTCCTGCCTCAGCCCGCTGCGGCGCTTCCAAACGGGAGCACAGCCACTGCCCCTCTGACCCCCACCCTGGGACCCCTGGACACCAGGATTTGCATCTTCTGGCACACGGTCAGTCGCAGCACAACGTGTCTGTTGCCCAGAGGGGGTGGGAACACTGGGATTTTATAAGCAAAACAGGCACCCAGCAGTGGGTTCTGTGTGACAGCCACAGCGCTGACCTTGTGGGGAGGAGAGAACAGAGCACCCGGCTCATCAACCCGCTCGGGTGTTCCTGTGTCCCTTTGGAGATGGAGCATGAAGCCATTAAATAATAAAATATCAACTGCAGAGCAGCCCCAGCTCCTGCAACACTCCATGGTGCCGGAGACACTTTGGGATGCTGCACGAGCAGATGTGGGGCTGGCGCTTGAAGGGAGAGTCTGGTGCATGAGATGTGGGTTTGGGGCGTGCAGGGAGGGTTTGGGGTGTGCAGGGATGGTCTGGTGCATGTGATGTAGGTCCGATCCATGTGACATGGGATTGGAGGATGCAGGGAGGGTCTGGTGCATGAGATGTGGGTCTGGGGTGTGCAGGGAGGCTCTGGTGCTTGCAGGGAGGGTCTGATGCATGTCACCCTCCCTGCACAGAGGAGGGTCTGGTGCAATGAGATCGGGTCTGGTGTGGCGAGGGACTGGGGCATGCAGGGAGGGTCTGGTGTGTGTAATGTGGGTCTGGGGTGTGCAGGGAGGGTCTGGTGCGTGTAATGTGGGTCTGGGGTGTGCAGGGAGGGTCTGATGTGTGTAATGTGGGTCTGGGATGTGCAGGGAGGGTCTGGTGTGTGTAATGTGGGTCTGGGGTGTGCAGGGAGGGTCTGGTGCATGTGAAGTGGGTCAGATACTTGAAATGTGGGTCTGGCGAGTGCAGCGCAGGTTTGGTGAGTGCAATGCACGGCTGATGCTGCTCTGTGGGTCTAGTGCAAGTCACACGGGTCCAGGGCTGTGAAGCAGGACCGGTGGGTGTGGTGGGGGTCCAGGTGGGTTTGCAGTGTGGGTCAGGGTGTGTAAGATATGGGTCTGACAAACCAGACGTGGGTGCAGTGCGTGCCATGGGGGACCAGCGCATGCAGCAGTACGGGTCTGCTGTGTGCCGCGGGGGTCTGGCACACGCAATGCGGGTGTGCTGCGGGCCCGGTGCGTGACCCGCCCCGAGCACCCTGTGCCCCGGGAACCCCCCCGCTGCCGCCCCCCGATGCGGAGCGGCGCTGGCAGACCCGGCTGCGCCCCCCGCCTCCCCCCAGCCCGAATCCGCAGCCAGAAAGGGATGAGTCATGGCGGCCCCGCACCGCGCCCCGCACCGCGCCCCGCACCGCTCACCTGCGCGGGGCCCCGCCGATGTCGGGGGCGGCAGCGCCGGGGTTCGGGGCTCAGCGACCTGCCGGGGAAGGGAGAGAGCGGACGGTGAGCGGCGGCGGCGCGGGGCCCGGTGGGATACCCGGTGGGGTACCCGGTGGGGTACCCGATGCGGTACCCGATGCGGTGCCCGGTGCGGTGCCCCCCGCCCCATCCCGCATCCCCGCGCCCTTCCCCGCCTCCATCACCTGCGCCGGCCTCCATGGGTGCGGCGGGGCGGCCGGGAGCGCTGGAGGGATGAGGGAGGGATGAGGGAGGGATGGAGGAGGGAGGGATGGCGAAGGCAGGGAGGGAAGGATGGATGGAAAAGGGAGGGAGAGAGGGAGGGATGAGCCGTGCAGCTGCGTAATTTGCTCCCTCCTCTGCGATCTTAAAGCGACGGCGCCGCGGGTACCTTCCCCCCCCCCCCCCAGTTGGGTTTCCCCCCGTTTCTATGGCAACTCCCCTCTGCCGGAGCGGCACAACAACCTCAAAAAAATGGAAACCAGACGAGTTCTGGGGTCCCTCCCCGTCTGCGAAGCCCCGCGGGCTGGGTTGCCCTGCGCCCGGTGGCCCTGGGCTCCTCGCCCCGCGTAACCCCGGAGGAGGAGGAGGAAGAGGAGAAGGGAGCCGGGGCGGCCCCGCGCTGCAGCCACCCGACCCTTGGAGTCCCCCCAGCTTTGGGATTTTCATTTAAAGCAGTCCAGCTGTGAGGAGATCCCTACCTCTAGTTAGTGACGCACTTTCATAAAGTAAAGCCATTAAATAACCGGAATTCTGAGCCCCATTTCAATCCCTCTAGCTCAGCCTCAATCGCCGGGGCTGGGGCGGACAAGCAGCAGCAGCCGCCCCGAGCTGCTGTCCCGGGATGTGACGGGCGTCGGGGTGGTTTGGGAGATGAGGCTGACGGCTGGCACGGCACGGCACGGCACGGCACGGCACGTCCCGTTCCCCAGCACAGCCCGGTTACTCATGGCACTTCCCACACGCTTCCTGCTGTAGCTGTCAAGATCAACCTTCCCAAATTATTTGCTGAGGAAACGTCTCGGGAGCCCCCGCGCCAGGTCCTGCGGGGAGCAGCGGGGCACCGGCTCCTGGGAGCTCCGTGCCCGCGGCCGGGAGCGCCCAAGGTCGGCTGCGGACACCCCCGTGGGGACCAGGAGCGTCAGAGGTGCACATGTGCCTGTGCTGCAAACATCCACACAACATCCAGCCTGGGTGGATTCACATACGGATTTATGGGGAAATGTTAATGTGGGAAATATTCACAGCCGGAGTAGAACCTGTGCCCAAATTGGGTCTGGACCCGAGGCCCATTGTGCTTCCCAGACGTTCCCAGCTCCCTTTGTCACGCCCCCGTGGTTATTCCAGAGTTTTGACAAACCTGTTTGGTAAATACATGTCAGTCTTTCTTCCAGCACTATTTCCTGCATGATTTGTACCTCATTTATCCCAACACACAGACTGTTTTCAGTGTGTGTATATATATATCCTGCCTCCCATTTATTCCTGCCCGCCTCCAGCTGCCTTTTGTTTCTCTCTTTCCCGGTGAATCCAACGCACAGCCTCTCTCCTTGAAAGGAAAATTAATGAGTTATCACAGCTGCTGCCACTGGATCAGCTCTGACCATGTGGCACAGGCAGCAGCTCTGCTGTGAGATGCAGAATCATTCCTGATGGCTTTTGGGAAAGAAAAATGGTTCCTCCTTCCCTCTGCAGTCTGCTGTGCTTGGTCTCCCAGGATACTCTGACCTGCAGAGTGGGAGCACCACTCCAGGGAGTCTGGGCCCGCTGCAGGGAAAGAGGGAGAGGTTTTCACCAAACCCAAACCCTTTTCCCAGGTCAGCACCTGGCTTTGGAAGTGCCAGGCCTGCCGTAAGGAAAAGATGAGCTGCCCTTGTTCCAGTCTTGGCCTGAGCCATGCTCCTATTCCCACCCAAAAATAGTGCTTCTTTTGCAGAAAACTGAGCGGTTTTTAGCAAACAATGATGCTTTTGTCTTCCTTACACCCAGAAAAGGAACCCCTCAGAGAACAGCAGCACAGGCCCAATGCTTATTTAATCAAATATTCCTGTTCAGAAAGGACACTCAGCTGGAGCACCCCCACAGCCAGTGGCCACCCCATGCCCCACACTGGGGCTTCACCTCTTTTAAAGCCTTTTTATTCCCTTAAACAGACCCTCAAACACAAACCTCCCTGAATCCTGTGGGACAGGAACCACACACGTCAGTGAGCACAGACAAACAGGGGTGTCACTGACGTGAGTGAACACCTGGAAGTCAGGTGACAGTATCACCCATTGTTTCCCATTTAAGGTAAAATCACCAAGTCCCTCACTCTGAGATGAACCCATAGGATTTGATCCTTCAGAAGAAATACCAACAAGCAAAGGAAACATCTTCTGATTTTTATTGATTCCACATGAAGGAACAGTGATGTCCCCACAGCACAGAAGCACCTGAGTGGGGCACAACCATCCCTCCTCCAGGTGGGAGGCAGCCAGAAACCAAGAGCTTCAGAAAATGACAGTAAAAGGGATAAAATTTATCCTAAATTAGATAAAAATACAAAGAACTGATAATATTTCAGTTAACATCCATTTTTATGTAGATCTACACATGAATAAAGGTGTTAATAAGTTAAAAAGCTCTGTGAAATCTGAAAATGCAGGATTTATAGAAAATAGAATTTCTTGCTGCAACTTCTGGACTCTTCTAAGGCCAGTGTAACTTCTGTCTGCCTGAACACACAAAAGCAATGCTGGATACAGTACCCTGCTAGATCTTAAAATATGAAATATTGAATATTCTTTGACAGGAACGATTTTAAATAGTCTTTTTTTTTTTTTTTTGCTACAGAGAGTAAACAGATAACTCTTACTGATGATATTAGAGAATTAACAGACACAGGCCTTGTCAAAAATAATTTAAGCTCCAAAAGTAGTCTCTTGAGAAAGGTTTTGAAGGACTTTTTTAAAAACCCTTCAAGGACTTTCATAAAATTCCTTTGAGGACTTTTATAAAATCCTTCACAATGTAAATCTCTTATGTAGAATATCTATTTTAGTGGTATTTTATTAACATATTGTATGACTATCATATAACTCATCATATAACTATAAATATTAATAATAAGCCCTGCAGTGATCACCTGGGGCAGGACCCCTGCACAAGCCATTACTGGGTGGTGTAGAGGACAGGGAGCTCTGCTCATCTCCCACAGCTTGACAAGACATTCCATCCTTTTTCCAGGAAAACTATTTGCTGGAAAGTGCAACCTAAGCTGTATTTTGATCAGTTTATCTGATCTTGCCAAACATGGGCCCAGCAGTGGCTATGAGGTCAGCAAAGGGCTCGAGCTGCTGCAGCTTGAGGACCTGCTGCTTCCTCAGCACCAGGAAGATGTAAAATGTGGCTGCAGCTTCTTTGCGGTTGTTTCTCCGGCAGAGCTCCCGAAAACTGAAGGAACACACGCCTGATCTCTTCAGTTGCTGCGTGAGGGAAATGAGAAATCACTCAGTCAGCTTCCCCACCAGTAAAACTGGAGCCCAAGCAGAGAGCGCTGCGTAGAGGGAATATCTCTGCCTGAATGCCTCAAATAGGATCCAATCTCCATAGAATCATGGAAGCACACACTGGCTTGGGTTGGAAGGGACCTTAAAGATCATCTCATTCCCCCACCCTGGATACCTCCAACAAGACAAGGTTGTTCCAAGCCCCATCCAACCTGGCCTTGAACAATTCCAGAGATGGGGAGTTCACAACCTCTCCAGCTATCTTCCATCTGTGTTTATAGAAGTGACTCTTAACATTTTAATGCCGTAATAGTGTTGGTACTTATGTCTGTTACTAAAATCTACAATTTCACAGAATTCCATTACACCAGTGGAGTGCTTCCATCATTCTTTGTGATTTATAACAATAAATATCCTTGAGCAGTTCTTTGGTTTCAGAGTTCTCTTGTTTTTTTTAAAGGTTGTTAATATTTGTTTACTATTTGCACAGAACCTTTGAAATACATTTAAAAAAAGAGCATTCAGAAAATTCTAGTAATTCCAGCAGCTGTGGAAAGGAACATCATACATCAAGCACCCAGAATTGCGATTTTCCACAGAAATACCAAAAAAAAACACATGCTGCAAGTGAGAGGCAGAGACACAATGTAGAAGACAGTACTGTAGACAGTAGAAGGAAGAGTTTTTCTAGCATGGTCCAGCTGAAATCAACACCAGCTTTTGGTATCTAATAACAAAATCCAGCACTGGTACCTGTAAAGTTTTTTGTAACCGAAGAGTTCTTTTGCCCCATCTTATTTTTTCATTGTCTTTCCTGGTCATTGTTTGCTCCTTGGGAGGAAGTAAACAGAAGGTTAGTCAGAGTGTGTAAAAAGTCACACCACGAGAAAAAGGACAGGAGTTCCAGCCTGGCTGAAAATCCAGATAGAGCTGGATATCTGGATGGCCAAATTCAGGGAATCTGGAGCCTCTGACACCTCTGTGTTCACACAAGGCTGTGTGAAACAAAGGAAAGAATGGGACCTGTGTGCTTTGTGCTACAGAGACAGCTCAGGTGCAGCATGGACATGGTCCCAGTGAGGCAGCTCCACAGCCAGGGACTGCTCTGTGGGACTGGAATTCTGACAGGATTTGTACTGGCCAGGAGCTTAAAGAGATATTCAAATATTTGTCTTGGGATTTTGGGCTTAACCTCTCAAGTCTGCAGCTGACTGCCCTGGTTTCAGAGTACCTGAACATCCTCAGAACCAGCAAGGTTGGAATTATTTCCTTCTCACAGGAAGCAAAACTTCCTGTAAGTTCATGATGCTTTTTTTTTTTTTTTTTTTTTTTTTTTCTCTTCTGAAACAAGGCAGGGCCATCAGCTTGGGACACACACCTCTGGCACTTCCACCTGCTGTGCTTCAGCTTCCTGGCCCAGGGAATTTTTTGAGCTCTCGGAGAAAGCTGCTCCATCCTCCTGTGAGCATGAAAAAGACAATCACTAGGCCTGACTATTTATGCACACAGTGCAGTTCTCCTCACACAGTTCTGCTCAAAGAATTTATTGTAATCAAGTTCTTCAAAATTAGTGAATAGCTGCTATTTCTACCATGTCTTTCCTGATACTGGGAAGCACCTTGCTGTAGGATTTATCTACAGATGAATCTAAACCTATGGGCAGAGTTCAGGCATGGAGCACACATTTTCTGCTGCCACTAGCTCCAATTTCATCACTTTTCAACATTAATGAGTCTCATATTCCCTAAAGAATGCCCTTTAGCAGAAGTGAAGATGGAAGATATATTGCTTAAGTATTTCCTCAACATGACACACGAAATGTAAGTTTTATCCTTTATAAAGATTATATTTGTCTCTTCAGTACAATATTTCATATTTAATATTAAGCTCTCACTTATACTTGGTGATTAAACTGTAATCTATGCTGATGAATAAACATTTTAATTCATCATTCATTCATTATGTGAGTTTACCAAATTATAAATAAACTTTCATCACACAAGCTACTTAATGCTCTCTTGGCTGTTTTTAGCATCCTTTCCAAACATTAGTAATTTCTTAACATGTTTTAAATGGAACTTAGCAAAAAGTGGAACCAATAGGCACACTTAAGTCTCTAAAACTGAGGAAAACTGCTCACTATAATTTCACCACAGTTCTCATTGGTTTCATTTCTGTCATTCTGTGATGTCAACATAAAGGAATCATTTCTAATTTTTCTCCCAGTCTCGGAATGAGCTGGCTCCTGCAGGTAACTTGGCTCTTCTATTGGCAGCATCTCTGTATTAATAGAAAACCAAGGTTGAAGAGGAAATTACTGTGAATCACCATCCTTTAAAAAACCCACTGAAAACTAAAAATCACACACAAGTTCAGAGTCTTTGAGAGGAAGAGCCAGAATAAGCAAATATTGAAGAAACATTAGTCCCAACAGGAGCATGAAAGAAGAACCTTCCAAGGCAGGTTTTCCTCTTCTGAAAGTTGACCTTTATGGACTCACTGGAGGTGGGTTTGTTAATTAATTTTTGAGGTAGGTTAAGTTCCCAGCAGAGCAAAAGAATGAAAGTGGATACATGCTTCTCAGAAGATCTAAAATGGAACATTTCTTTTTGCCTGATACTAACCAAACACATCTTCCAGATACAAGTAGAACTATTTACATTAATTTGGGATTTTGGAGAGGAGTTTGATTAAGCTTAGAAGAAGTGGGAGGCTATTTTTTTTAAATTATATTGAAAAAACCACACAAGCAACATTACCCAAATCTGCAGTTTCAGAGATAATTAGAGAAACCAAAGATGAAACCAAAAATATCTTCTTATGCCACAAGGAATAAAAGACTTGGATTTCATTTAATTTCTAAGAAACAAAAGAACAGCAAAGTAGTAATTTGCGTAATACTGCACATCAACACCTCTTGTGTCTCTCAAACATTATGTAGAATATAAAATACTCTCTAACAGCTAATTTTGCACAATAGAATTAAAATATTACCTGTAGTATCTTGCTCTTTTCCCATTTCTTTCATTTCAGACATCGTCTGTATTCCATTTGCTCTCATCTTACATTTGTCAGTCTTGAAGCATTTTTCAAACAACTGAAAATAATTGGTTTTTGTTTGCTTTCAGAATATCAAGTCAGATTATTTACAAACATCTACACAAAATATGAATATGAGCTGTATGTTAATTACTGCAACCCAGAATTTCAGTATTTTAATTAGGTCATGCTGAGAATCTGCAATTTTTTTTTGTTTTGTTTTTAATCAATATCCTTCTACAGCTCCAATGTGAATTCCATGAAAAAAAAACATCTTATGAGCAACTTGAATCATTTTCAGCCAGTAAGGAAGAATGAAAGAAAGAAGCATCTGCAGTTTTCATCTTCTTAAAGAGCAAGTTGTAATTCTCCAGCTGGACTCTAAGTGGTGAAGCTGCACTGCTGCAGTGAACCCTTCCAAATCCATCAGCAATATTCCACTAATAATGAATGACGTACCTTTAAAGTAAATATAAACAAAAGATATCTCAAATTTATTACAAAGAGTAAATAAACCAGAGAACAATACAACAAAGGAGAAAGTATAAAAGAAATTGACAGAAAAGTAAAATGTTGTGTCTCAGTATAAGATCAGTCAGGCGCCAGTGTGTGAAATGAAACATCAGCTCTCATGTTCTTTTTGTAATTTTTCACTTGTTGGAGCACAGAAGGTTAAGGCTGTGACCCCACAGAAGGAACAATTAGTGGTGAGTGTGCAAACCATCAGGTGTCCAGCGGACCAATACTGCAGAGCAATGCTCAGTGCACACCTGCAGTCAGCTCCAAGTTCGGATCAAACAGAGTCTGCAAAACCTCTCTCAGTCAGATCCCAGCTCTGCAAAAATCCTGGAACCTACACAGTGGCATAGACCCCACAAGGAACTGATCTTTACCTTTTGCAGCTGAGCATGAAGCATAGGCTGTGAAGAATGGGACAGGAGTTTATCCACAGCTCCCCACTCCTTCCACATCATCATTTTCTTGGTTGGGGGAGCGAGGTCCAGCGTGCCCAGGAGGTCTGTGTAGTCGGTGAGCTGCTTGTAAATGGTGTGGCAGCTGAGCTCCTTCTCTACATCCACCAGCAGCTTCCTCTTTCTTTGTTTGTTGCTCCTCTGGGTGACAGCTACATAAAGCAAGTATTAATAACAAGTCTTAAGTTCAATTCTTAGGACATTAAGCACACAAAAAACCCCCAGTGAATCAACCTGGCTGCCAACCTTCTGAACACTGCCTAGACTTGAAAATCAAAGTACAAGTGCGCAGGCCACTCCTTCAAAAGTTTCTACAATGTTTTCACTCTTTGTACTCTTTTGCTGGAAATTCCCTTATGTTTAATTGTGGAAGACAAATGACTCTTTTAATAAAGAGCTGTGTACAGGACAACTTCATGAGAACACATGCTAGAGCAACAAGACTGAATAATCTGTCTTTAATCCATCAGGAAGTTAAGTGCTCTAGGAACTGCTGATGCACTCAAGAGGTTTCATTACCTCATAATTAATATCTGTATTTGTCAGTTTAATCATTTAGCAATTTAATAAAGATGTAAACACAAAAGAAAGACACAGATTAGTTATATAGCCATAACTTCCTGGATATTATTTGGGCAGGCCGGAAAATTCCAATATTGTAAATATTGCTGTCAACATGAGCTTGCTTATTCATAAAGAGGCACCAATGTGATAGAGGACATTGAGGTTTCCTCTGCAGAGGAAATGTAATACTCTTCACCTTGGATCTTGTTAAAAGTTCACAAACCAATGTTTTTCAAAAGCTTGAAAATTTTAGGATTGTGATTTTAAATATAAAAGTCACTGATGTGTAATTGGCAATTAAAGTTTTTCAGGTGAATCTTCAGTACCACCCTGGAGGCAGGCCAAGCTTGCAATGCTACCAGAGCTGAAAAGCAACAAAACTTGACTTCGTAGGTAGAAGAAACTGCAAGCAGAAATTTGGGCAGCTGAGATAAATAACCTGGCATTGGATTTGTATAATATTTACTGTAAAAAGGAACTCTGACAGCAGGAGCAGATGAAATCTAAGGTGGAAATAATATATATAGCAAATATTTTCACTATTAAGAAGCAAACCAAACCTAGTTAATGCAAACATTCATCAGAAACTGATCAAATTCTGACCTGTGTCATCAACTGGCTCAAGCACAAATCCTTCTTCCTGGAGCAAAAGAGTTGTCTCATCCATTGTGTGATTTACATCCTTAACAGTGGTGTCTGCACAGTTGGACTCAACTGCAAGAAAACACAGCAAATAATCCAAATTTTAAAAAAAATTACAATATGGACTAATTTCTCAATCACACGACAGAGAATGCTACCAGACAAAACCAGCAAGAAATAAGAACCCGTGGTCTTGTTTATAATCTCATTTATGTTCACCAATTCCTTCTCGTACTCTCATACTCTACACTTCCCTTCACTGATCCCAGAACGACCAGGCCGCAGCAGAGACAGAAGAAGAACTGATCTGGAGAAAACCCACACAACAGAAAGTGTTTAGGGGCAAAGGTGTTTCATTTCAATCCCTATCTGTTTCCAGTTCCAGGCAAGTGCATGGCAGTGTGGACATCTCTGTCAACAGAAAAGGAACAAGTAGCACCAGCAATAGAGCAAGGGGAGGCAAGAGCCATTCTAACCCTTTAAAGCTGTTCCAGAATTCTCTGTTTTAAACTAACACTCTGATGGGGGAGTAAGGATAGCAAAATTTAAGATAGCAAAAATTTCTCAGAAATAGTTATCAAAGCTTAATTTCTTTTATCAGCATCAAACCAAAAGAAGATTAACAACACCTTTATGAGCTAGTTAAGTGTCATTTGGTGCAGAAATATGAAGCCAGAAATAGAAGCACAGAATTGTTTCTGTTGGAAAAGGCCTTTTAAGCTCTTACTAGGAAAGTTCACTGTTACAGGACATCCTTATTTAGGTTTCTTTCCCCCTCAAAAGGGACATCATGCTGCGAGCAGCAGGGTGGACCAACAGCATATCCAACAGGATGTCACATGAAGGTGTTTCTAAGCAATATCAAATCACAAATCTGGAATCCTTAAATCAAATAAAATGATCCTAAAATGGTGGATGAAGCAGTTTAGGGGAAAAAAAAAAGCAAAATAAATGAAGAAAGGCAAAAGGCACAAGGATACTACAAAAAGCTGGATGTGAGTGACATTAGGCATTAACACAGGAACAGAGGGTTTATGTGAGCTGGAGCAGACACTGCAAACTCACTGGCTGTGCTGTTCTCCGGCAGATCTTGTGACAAAGGACGTGCTTCCTCCACATCAAGAATGTCTTCATCTAGGACATTTTGCTCATCCCTCAGCAGGATTTCTTAAAGACAAAGCACATAGTTTTAATCATTCTAAGCCTTAGTAGTCATGAAATAGCCTGATACAGCCTAATGTTAGTCCAGGTTAATACTCTGCAAAGAAAGCAAGCTCAGCTTCCGCAGATGGCCGTCAGTGGTACGGCTGTCTGCAGCAGCACACAAAAGAGGGATTAGTCCCACGTTTGAGATTTCCACCTTTTTTTTTTTAATATGGCCTTGATAGTGCTAACAGGTATCAATCTGTAAGGTTTACATAAATGCTCTGAGCCATAATGATGTAGAAACTACTTTGCTGCCTTTGTTATTACAACAGAAAGGATAAAAATACTGCACTATTTCACCTGTGAAAATAGAAATTAAATTGTTAAACATTAAGCATAAATTTAATGCCTATAATTCTAAAATAATGAAATACAGCCTTTAAACCAATTTGACTTGGCAGTGTCTAAGTAATCATAGACTTAGTGACAGGTAGCAAAAATATATGTATGAAAACAACAAATAACATCGAATTTATGTTTGACAACAATTTCTTTGGTGCTATCTTGACTGTTTTCCTGTAAGAATAAAAATATTTGGAAAGGAACCAATTCTGTTTGCCTGTGGCAAACCCTACCAATCATATCTGCAGCATCCTCCTCATCCCCAAAATGGTCATCCTGGAAGGAATAAACATCTTGGTGCAGAACATCTTCGTGCAGCACAGATTTGTCTCGGCTGGTGCTGGCTGAGTTGGGATCGGCCACCAGACTGTTACTGCTCGTCAGGACACTGCCCTCAAAGAAGCTCTGTCTCCTCAGCGCTTCTGCTTCTTCATCTGAGGGAACACACAATTCCTGATCCCTCATCTGTGTGGGTTTTGTAAGCCCAGATGTATCAATTTCCTAATTTTCCAAGTAATTTTTAAAAGATTGCAAGACATCCCATACCTCAAATGGAATAAAGACTAAACAATGTTATCTAATTTAGGAAAAGCAGGAAATGTTTGATTTGGTTCTCAGTCTCTGACACCAAATGATATTGCTTACACAAAATTTTAAACCTAAGATAGCTTGATAGGCCAATCAGCAAAAGCATGAGACAAATGGACCTTTAATCACAGCTTTTTCACATGTGGAAATGGCTCACATAAAACACACTCCCCCTTATGAAATACTTCCAACTTCTCAGCTTCTCTCACCAAAGTTTCTATCACAGAGAAGTATACTGCTTTCATAATCCTCTGTAAGTGTGATTTCTTCAGCTCTGCTCTGATTCAAGGTAAAATGTTCAGCAACATCAATAGCTCTGATGAAAAAAATATAAAAATATAGAGTGAACTGAAACTCATTGAGCATTCGGCTGGAATGTCAAAACTTGTTTCTACACAGCCTTAAATCCTGGCATTTTATCACAAGCCCCCATATTTTTCCACTCCTTTTTGCCAGTAAACTTGGGCTTTTGTGATTTTGTCCCATCCAAGCCCTGGTACCTACCAGACCCTCGTCAGAAGTCAACTCATTAGCGAAACATGTTTTAAATCAAATTACACAACTCTTTGGGCAGGTAGAAAAGGCACCTTTACAGAGTTAGCACACTGAGGCACTTGAATAAAGTGTATTATATTGCAGCTGTACTTACAAAATAATAATCCCATCATGATCCCATCAAACCATATTTATGAGGAGGAACAGAGCAACCCTCAGTGGAAATCCCTTGTCCTGGACTTTTGGGGCATCAGAGCCATCACAAACATGACTTAGCCTCCTGGTTTTTATCAGTTTTCTACATTAATGCTGCTTTGTGTCAAAAAAGCCTAAGAAATATGCATGCTTTTTCTCAGGAGCTAGGCTGACTATTGCTGATAAAACACCCCAGCCCCAGAGAGCAGTGGAGCAGAAACAAAATGAAGTTACCCAGTGGAACAGTGCAACACTGTGTGGGTTACTGGCCACATCTTTCAGGATTAACACTAATTTTTATCTCTTCTCTTGAGGTTCAGAAAGCTGTTTGTATCCTTCACTCAGACAATTTAAAATCCTGAAGTCTAAGTTCAAGACATTATTCCATTGTGAAGGTCTGTTGATTAAAGGACTGAGGAAAACTACCAAAGCACAATGCCTGTGCCTGTAGCCTTGTAAAGATCAGAATTTAAGAGAATTCAGTTATTAAATAGAAACAACCCAACCTGAGTCTCGATCAGATAACACCAAGTATAGCTTTTACTTCTGAAAATTCTAAAAGAATGAATAAAAACTGGGGAAGCATTTACTTTACATCTGGTAGTGGTGCTTCAAAATCATGAAATTCTTCAGGTAATGTAATGGACTGATAAGCAGCCTCAAAGTTCTCTTCTGGGAGGTCAAGAAGCCCTGAAATAAAGAGACAACATAACAAAATAAGTATCAATAAAATAAAAGTAGTGTTCTCTCCCGAGTAGGTATAATAAGCCTATAAACCTGTCAGGAGGGGCTGCTGCCATTCTAAATCACAGAAAGGTAAAGCTTAGGCACCCAAAAGTGGAATTTCAGTTTCCATGTCCTTAAGATGATCTATTTTTTACAGACACATACAAAAGAGTCTGCTGCAACAGGACCTGAAATATTTAAGTACTTGTGTTGGTGAACAGCTGCTTTAAGTCCCTGGAAGGTTCTCCCAGCTGAGACTGGGAGACTCCAGCCAGAGTCTTTCACAACACTGCAAATGAACCACTGTGTTTTCCTTTCCTCTGCTCTGTCTCCATAAAACTGTTCTCCAGCATCAAATAATTATATGCTCAGACTGCCAATTACTTGGGTATCAGAGAGTCCTGGAAAAATTCACACAAGGAGGGACTTCTCAAGGTCATCCAACCCAACCATTTGCTCAGAATGGGGTTAATTTCAGTCAGATCACTTTTGACTATTTCTGTTGATGAAGATTTCACAGCTTCCCTGAAAAGCCTCTTTCAGCATTTTACCACTTCTTCTGAGATTATTCTCCCCCCTTCTGTCTAGGTAAAGTCTCTGTTGCAGCAGTGGTGACTGTTGTGTGCTCTTGAGCTGTGTGGTGCTCTCCAAGTTGCTATAGGATCTATCTCCAAAACAGCCACCAGTTGTGGCTGGCAGATTTCAGTTGCATATTAAGGAAAATTTCTTCACTAAAACGGTTTTCAAGCGCTGGCACAGGCTGCCTAGGGTAATGCTGGAGTCACCATCCTTGGAGGGATTTGAAAGACATGTGGTATTTGGGGACATGGCTTAGTGGTGGCCTTGGCAGTGCTGGGTGAACAGTTGGACTGGGTTTTGGAGGGATTTTCCAGCGTAAATGGTTCTGTGATTCTATAATTCTGTGATCATATCCTTGAGAATAATGCAGAGTAATTATTCACTATTTTGCAAACAGGCCAGGTCACAAAGCACATTAAAACTGGCGGTAGACATTGGTGTTCTCAGGCTTTTTTTTAGACAACAGTGCCTCCCATTTATTGCCTAAGTATAACAAACACAGAGTCTGTTGGAAAAGGATCCAGTCATCTCAGCTCCCTTCTCCCTGTCTACATGGCTAGAGCTCAAAACACACTGTCAGGTCTGGCACTGACACTGTTAGACATGTTGTTGGTGTCATCAGAAATTATAATTAATTATCTAGCAATGGAGGCTGAACTCAAGCATCTTCATGTAAGCCCACTTAAGATACTGCTTCTGTTAAGGGAGTCAAAGACCTGAAATAGCACTAAATTAAGCCAGACTAAACACCAGCAGTAGGTGCTAGCATGTTCGGTTTACTTTGGGGTCAGTAATGTGTATTTAACAGAAATATCTAAAAATTAACTTGTAAAATGAGAGTGGTACAGAACACAGATAAAAAAACACTGAATTTTGTATGTACCTGGACGAAAGGCTGTCTTCATTTTGGTCAGAGCTTCATTGCAGTCTCCCAAGAGGTACTTTGCTTTCCTATTGTAAATCCGCACCACCCCCAGGAGTAAGTGTCCAGAGGTTCGCAGAGCTATAGTAAACTGTAAGGATTTAAATTTAAGAAAAATGTTGTTCAGGAGTTAATATGTTTGGCAAAAACATTAAAGTATTACACAGAATTAATAGAGTTCTCTACAAGAGACCAAGACCTCCACCCCAGGACTCTCCAGGAGATCCCTCCTCATGCCACAGCCTACCTTTGGGGAGACGATTTGTTGTATGGTGGCCTCTAAATTGCACTCAAAGATATGTGCCTTGGTGAGCTTCTTCTCCCAGTGGGCAGCCATCCAGATTTTGGCCAGCGGGCCCCGCTTGTTGATGAGCAAATGGACGTAGAACATGGTGCCTGGCCAAAGGTCTCAGGGCAACCCTGACAAAATTCCCTGAGCTCTTCCCGTTGCAACAGGAGATAGGTCCTGGGGCACCAAGAGGGATTAGGGATTTAATGAAATCTGAGGGGGTGGGGGACCCAGTCGGGTGCTATGGGCAAGGGGGAATTTAGTGGGATCTGAGGGGATGGGGGGACACAACCAGGCACTGAAGGGGATGAGAGGATTTATGGGATCAGAGGGGACAGGGTACCCAGGCAGACATTGAGGGGATGTGAGGACTTAGTGGGATCCAGAAGGGCTGGGATCACCCGGCTGGGTGCTGAGGGAATGGGAGAACCCTGAGAGCACTGAGGGAATGAACGGATTTAGCGGGACCCTCAGAGGGTGGGTGTGTGTGGGGGGGGATTTGGCGGGATCCTTAGGGGATGGTCAGGGTGGATTTAGTGGTGCCTGAGGGGACAGGGAGGCCTGAGGGATGAGGTGTCCAAGTCGCTGAGGGGACAGGGGGCCTGAGCAATGCCAGGAGGGACGTGTGGGATTTAGCGGGATCCTGAGGGATGGATGGGCACAGCCGGCCGCTGAGGGGCTCTGAGGGGATCCGCCGGCGCTGAGGGGCTCGGCGGGGCGGGCGGACCCTCCTCAGGCCTCAGCCGAGCGCGAGGAGGCGCCGCGAGGGGTCCCCACACCGAGCCCGCCCTCGGAGCCGGTGCGGGCAGCGCCGGCCGAAACCTCCGCGCCCGGCCGCCACAGCTCCGCACTGCCACGGAGCCCTCCTGCCGCTGTAAATGCCCCCTCCTTCCTGGGGCTCACCAGCAGTACCCACACATGCCCGGGAACAAGTTGTGGCACCCCTCATTTTGGGTTCATGAGAGTGGAGAGCAACCTCACTCTCCCCATCCATCTGTCCTTCCTTCCTCTCCTCCCTTCCTCTCCTCTCCTCTCCTTTCTTCCCCTCCCTTTCTCCTCCCAATCGCTTTCACGCTTGACGTTCTAAGAGCCCGCTTGCAGACACCGCCCCATCTCTTTCTCTGCAGGTGAGCAGCTCCTGCGTGGCTCCAGACACGTCTGAGAAAACTCCCTTGGTGAAGGAAATTTGCAGAAGAAAACAAAAAAGCCAAACAAAAAACCAGAACCTCAGACTGGACCTCTGTGCAGGAGGGGAAAGCAAGAGGTGCACAGCCATCCATCGGTGTCAGCTCCAGCCACCCCTGAGAGAAGACAGTATGTTTGCACACTTAGGTGTCACCAGCCAGGAAAAAAATAATTTGTCATCCTCTGCTTCGTGCTTTCCATGCTTTATATTCAGGCAGAACAAGCGAGGCTCCCGTTGCTCCCAGGCACAGCCCGGAGCATCAGCTGTTGCCATATCACAAGGCACCCGAGGTTTTCCCTGTCTCCCTGGTGTTAGCTGAAGATAACAAGATCTTAATTATCGCCAAGAAAGTGCTGAGCCTCATCCCTGTACTGCTCTGCATCTGGTCATAGTGGCAAGCAGGGCTCCATCCCTCCAGCTGCCTTTGGGCTGGGGCTCAGACGTTTGGGGAAGGAGAGGGATTTTTGCTATAAACCATCCTTGGAGTGGTGTATCCCCAACAAGGACTTGGAGGAACCTCCCACGAGCCCCAGAGCAGGATCCACTGCTCTTCCAGGGCACCAAACCTGTCTGGGAGCTCCATGCCCTGCAAGAGGGGGACCACTCTCACTGATGCCCACTGTGCAGCTCCAGTCCTCCCCAGCACCAAGGCTCATGTCCATCCCTGTGTGCCTTGCTGGTGGCAACAGCTCCCAGGAGCGGATTCGTGGATCAGAACCACCCTGCCCCCCACCCCCATTCCACGGGGAGGACTGGGATGTTGTGTCTGGGGTACACAGGGACTGACAGTGACAGGCAGGGAGGCTGTGATGTGCTGGACATCTCTGGTCCTCCCAAATTGCTGGATCTCTTGGTGATGTAGAGCCAACTCCTGAGTTGCCTGGCTGATTTTTCCCTGACCTCCGAGTCACCTTGAGCTGTGCTGGCTGCGAGCGCTCGCTCTGCCACGGGATGCTGTGAATGCTAAGGAGGCAGGAATTAAACTTCACCTCGGTAGTGAGGCTGGATAGGGGTCAGCACTGCCAGTGGGCACCAGACAGCTGTGCACTCCCCAAAATTGAGCTGTACTGCACAGGGCTATATTAGGGAACAGAGCCAGGTCCACAGCCTGTCTGGCTCCATCACATTCCTGCTCCTGCTGTCCTCTTTTGCCTGCCTGAGGCTCCCATTTGCTGTCCCTCTCATCCATGTTCAATCATTTCGTCTGCAGAGTGACATGTTCCCATCCCTGGTTCCCTGTCTGGCTCCTTCACCCTATTCCATCTCCCAGACTCCTTCCCTCCCTCCTCTTTCCTTTTCTTTCCAAGTCGTCTGTCTCGTCCCTCCAGCACTCCTGCAGTTTCATTGTGAATTTTGGCAGTGCTCCCTCTGACCTTGGCTGTCGCCCTCCTCTCTTTACTCCTGCACTGGCAGCACAGACCTTGACTGTCTCAGTTTCGCCTCCTCTTCTCTTAGTGCCAGCACCTTGGGGATGGAGTGGCCTTTGCCAGTCCCCATCCTCATGCTCACCCACTCAGGATCAGGCTGGGGAAGGTGTTTGGGCTACCTCAAGGTCCCTTCAAAGGCCTGGGGTCCCCTCCAGCTCCCATCCAGCAATGGCAGTGGGATCCTGGGGCAGCACAATGCAAACAGCAATTGCCAGCAGGACACATCCCTCCACCTCATCCCTCACAGATGGCCTCTCGAGCATTGCTGTGGGATTGGGGTGCAGGAGCAGCCCCCCGGGCAGCATGGAGCCCTGACCCCATGGCAGGCTCTGCCATGTCCCTGTATGAAGGCAGGTGGGAGCCACAGCATGAGTGCCTCTGGCTTCTGCCCCAAAAATCCCCATCCTGGCCAGACTCCTGGCCTTGGCATCCCTGGGTGCACGGACAGCCACAGGGCTTGGGTGCTTCAGAACAGAGGGCTTGACCACAGCTCTACTCAGGAGCAAACTGGTGGCAGTTCTGTCTTCCCAGGGAATTTGGCGATGGTGAGGCAGCAGATCTGCTTCTGCCCATCTGTTCACAGTGATATGCCTGCCTGCTCCAAATCCATCTTTTCCTGCTGATTTGGGACAATCTGTGTCCCATGACCTACTTGTCTCCAAGAATCTCCTGCCTTCCTGCAGAGTGGGTTGGTACTAAAGACTCTCTAAATGTAGTTAGCGTGTCAGGATGCACTTCCATTTATTTTTAATTCTGTTTCTTTCTCATCCCACTTCTGGCTACATCTCTGGGGACACTTTGCTGGGAAGCCTCTGTTTCATAAAGTCACAAAGTCACAGAATGGTTTGGATTGGAAGATACCTTAGAGATCACCTCGTTCCAAGCCCTCTCCCATGGCAGCTCCATGGCCCTGCTGCAGCTCAGAGACTGAGAGGTGCCATGTGTTGGTCTTGAGTGTTCCAGTCAGCATCATGGATGGACACTGTCCTGGATAGGTGCTGAGCCTGGATCGTGTTGCACCATCCAGCCCTCAGAAAACACAAACACACTTCTTTATTTGTGTGGCATGCTCTAAAACTCTCTGACCCTTTTTTATCCATTTTAGCTGTATCTGACTCCCTGCCCTGTCACGACACAGGTGGCAAGAGACTCCCACCTGACATCTCCACACAGAGCAGTGCACAGACACTATGGATAATGCAGAGCCCAGTGTAGCTGCAGAGGAATACACTGTGTATGGGGACAGGGTTCAGGACATAATGGGGACAGGGTGCAGGGCACAAGTGGCATCCCTGCAGCCCCAGCACGGAGGTCACCCAGCGCCCACAGCACTGGGTGTGCTTCTGGAGATGCTGAAAGCATGTGAAGGTGTTGAAGGGAATGGCAAAGTGACGGACAAACCTTCCCAGCAGCTGTCAGCAGCCCACCCGCTATTGCTTGGGATTTATATCCACATCTCCAGGCACTGCTCCAAATATTAATAAATGAGGGAAAGTGTGTGGCTGCCAGCAGGTCACTTCTGGGGCACGTGCCTGGTTCTGGTGCCAGGTCAGGGAGAAGAAGAGTGCAGGCACTGATATGAATGCTCTGAGAAAACTGGAACAAATAACTTGTGTGTGTCTGTGTGTGTGTGTGTGAGAAGGAGGGCATTATCTCATGGGACTGCAGTGGGATTGTGGTGGAACCGCAGGGGCCAGGAGCTCCTCTGTCCCAGGCTGGGGCATATCATACCTGGCCCAAACCCAGGTCAACCCCCACTTTCCCTGGGAATTTGGGATAGGCTGGGCAACATCCATATGGGACCTCTCCCTGCTGTCTTTGACTCTAGGGATGCTCATGCTGCAGCCCCAGTGTCCCCAGCCCAGCTCCACCTCGGGTCCCACAGGGAACTGCTGGTTGTGGGGGGCACGTCCTCCAGGCAGACCCCATATAAAACCCACCGTGCTGCTCTGTCCTCTCCAAAGCCCCTCCCCACGCAGCCCCCCGGGGTGCCCACGGAGGGTCCCGGCTCTTCGGGAGGGGTGCACAGAGGGGTCTCTGCTGCCCGGGGTACGTGCACAGCAGGTGCCGGTGTGCACCCGGGCGTGTGCATGTGAGTGCATGTGTGTGCCTCCCGTACGTGTGTGTGTGTGTGCGTGTGCGTGCGGCGGCCGTGCGCGACCGCAGCTCGGGGCACCCACCGCCCGCCCCGCGGCGGCACCGGCACCTGCCCGGGGAACCGGGGAGGCGGCGGGGGTAGGCAGCCCGACGCGGGGGACCGGGAGGGGAAGCGGGGCAGCTCGGTGCGGGCATCGGCGGGGAGGGCAGACCGAGCGGAGAAGCGGGAGCGGAGCCCGGTGCACGGAGCGGGGCCACAGCCCGGTGCGGGAGCGGGGAACGGGAGGACAGACCCCGGCGGGAGAGGAGGGTCCGGTGAGGGGCAATTTAGTGGAGTCACAGGGACACAGGTCCCCACAGGGAGTTTCAGACGGATTCGGGAAGGTGGGTCGCGCAGTGGTCTGGGAAGGGGGAGAGCCAGGTGGGACGACTCGGCTCGGAGAGGCAGCTGCCGGGTTCAGGAAAGGGGAGCAGCCCGGTTTGGGGTTCGGCTCCGGGGAAGGGGGACAGTCCGGGCGCGGTCTCAGCTCCGAAGGTTGCCCGGTTCGGCTAAGAGAGACCCCAGGAGGAGGAGCAGCCCGGTTCGGAGACCTGCGGGGTGGGGCTGGTAGCCCGGTCAGGGGAAGCCACTCCGGGAAGGGGAAGCATTCCGCCCTCGGGGTTCGGCTCTCTGGTTTGGGGAAGCATCCCGGTTCGGGGACCTGTCTCCGAGCCAGAGGAGCATCCCGTCCCGCTTCGACCGCTCGCTCACCTTCGGCCGCGCAGGCCGGCGGCGGTTCCATGGCGTCCCCGCGGGCGGCGGAGCTGCGGAGCCCGGACGAGGCGGCGGCGGCGGGTGCGGGGGCCGGTGCGGGCGCGGGCGCGGGGGGCCGGTGCCGGCGGGCCCGGGGCTGGCGCTGGCGCTGGGCTGCGCCCTGGGCGGCGCGGCGCTGGTGGTGCTGGCGGGGGCCGTTCCGCGGGCGGCGCGGCCCGACCCCGCGGTACCGGCGCGCCAGATGGAGCGGCTGGAGGCTCGGGCAGCCCGGCTCCGCGCCCGCCTCGACCGCTGCACCGTGGCCGGGCTGGCGCTGCTGGCCCTGGGCGGGCTCCTGCTCGCCGCCCTGCTGCTGGCCGCCGCCGCCGCCCGCCGCCGCGCCCGGGCCGCCCGCCGCACCGGTGGCACCTACGGCTCGGTACGGCTGCGGCTGCGGAGGTTATCAGCTGAAGGGACGCGGGCGCTGCTGGAGAGCCAGCTGAGCCCCCCACCCCAGCCCCCCGAGGGGCCCGGCTCCTAGCCGTGCAAACCCCAAGGACCCCCCCGCCACTGGCAGAAACGGGGTCCCCTTGCTGCACCCCAACACTTGATACCATTGGGTGAAACTTCGCCTACACCAGCCTTCAGCCACCATTCTCACCTCCTTGAACCTTTATTGAATGGTGCTCTGACCCAACAGCACCGGACTGATGAGGCTTTGGGGTACTCCACCAGACTGCGTGGCCCTGGCCTGGGTTGTTCCCCACCACCAGCACTGGGACAGCATGGTCTTGGGACCTTTGGGACCTCCTGTCAGCTCCTCAGCACCTTCCTGGATGGGATCCTGCCACCAGCATCATGGCAGTGGCACAGTCAAGGCAGCCATGGGATTTCTGTGCCATGGTCGGTTGCAGCCTGGACTGGATGTGAGGCTGAGCTCCTTCCCACAGCCAGGACCTGCCTGCTGTTCCCTACAGATCAGTTTCTGCCATCAGTGACTGTTTTTAGCAATAGAGTCTGTACAACTCTGGCACAGAGCTGGTGCTTGCACTGCTTTGGGCAGAAGAGGAGGCAGCAAGCCTGCCCACCACCTGTGGGGTGAGGTCCAGCCCCCTGCCAACCCCCAGCCCTCACACCCCACCAGCTCCTTTCTGCACAGCAGGATGAAGGCCAGGACACACGCCTGCACCGTGCCAAGCATCCCACTACCACCAGCAGCCCTGGAATGGCCTCTTCAAAAACCATGGTGCTCTGTACAGAGAGAGCGGGTGATTCTCAGTGCCTCGAGGTGATGTGGTGGCTGTGTCACACGCTGGCCTGGCAGTGCTGCTGCTCGGGTGTCCCCACGCTGGCCCTTCTGCTGATTCAAGGGCCGTTGTCTGTGGTGTGAAGGCAAAATTGCATCTCGGGAATTAAACATGAAGCGTCATTAAAGCACAATGTTCTGTGGAAAGAGAAATGGGTATGAGCAGTGTGCTGGGAAAGGGAAATAATTATCCTACTGGAAAATGCAGACCCACAAAAGGTGCTGTTTATCATGAACTGCCACCAGTTTTCAATCCATCCCATAAGCTACCCACTTCAGACATTCTCAGGCAGGGACAAATCCCTCCAGACAGCCTGACACAAAGAAAAGTGATTTTTACATCTCGTTGCCTTTGTTGGGTTTTATTCCAGGGCTTCTGGTGTCTCCTTGTATGCTGGGAGTGGTGTCCCCTGACCTGTGTTTCCATATAATGCTTCACAGATGATTCCTCCCACTGCTGTGAAGTGCCACATGCCTCTCTCCCTGTCACCACATCACCAGCCACACTCTTTATTTATTGTAGGATCCCAGGAAACAACTTTAAATCATCTCACACCTGCAAACCTGGCATCCAGACTTCACTGGGATGAAACCACACTTGGAGTGAAATGGGTGGCTGTGCCTCATTGTCCCCAAACAAGAATTATCTGTCCCCAACAGCCCTGGGACAAATGGCTTCAATCAGAGCCTGAAGGGACAAATGAAGGGTCCAAGGAGAGCAGGGGAGGCAAATGTCATTGTGGCTGTCACACAGGGGCTCTAGGATGGAGGAGGGGGTGATGCTGTGGGAGGGAGGGAGGGAAGAGAAGGAAGGAAAGGGAAGAAGAGAAAAAGGGGAGAAAGGGGGAGCTCTGAGTCTTCCCAAGCAAGGCTTTGCCCTGAGAAGGCAGATGTCCCTCCTGCAACTCAGCGCTGGCCCTGCATTTCTGGATTAGTAAAATAAACCCACTAGATGGAGAAATAAACCACATCCCTTTTTTGTTGCTTTAAATAAGGTGGAAGGAGTGTTCTCAGGATGAAAAGCTGAGCCTGGTGAAGGTTACAGCTGTTAAGCACCTGCTCTATGTGAGCACAAGAAATACTCCCATGGATTAGGCCATGAGGCTGCTCAAGAGACTGCAGGAAGGGGCTGTCACTGCTTTGTCAGCATGTTGCTGGACTATGCCTTGGATCCCTGCAGGACTGGGGGAAGCCTCTATATGGAGAGAGATATATTTACAATGAACAACCTGTGTTAAGGAACAGCACCATTAAAGAAAATTCTCCACTGAGAACTCCAGGGCTGGAATGTGACTGTGTACACAACCTCCCCTAGGCTGAGGTGGAGGGTGGCTGTGCCAGAGAGACACGGAGCTGTTTGACCTGGCTGTCCCTTCATCACCCTGGCAGGCACTGGGAAAGAGGCACTAGTATGTGGTGCTTAATGTGCAGGGGGGTAGTAGGAAGCAATCCAAAATATTTCAGAATGCTGAGAAAAATCTGGCAGGGAAAGGCTGATGCTGTGCAGCCTGCGTGGAAGGAGGGTCAATGGCTCTCCAGTCCCCCAGTGCTGGTGTTTTGGGGGTGTCTTTCTTTGTGCTGGGGTGAGCAAAGCAAGCAGGGAGGGCTTGGTGTGTCTTTCCCAGTTCCATATAACGGGGCTGCTTTGTTTTCCTGCTGGGCCACACACACGACTTCCCTGTACCCAGGATCCAAGGGATGTAGCACCGGCTGCAGGGTAATTAGCGACGCCGGGGGTTCTGCCATCCCATCGGGAGCACGCAGGCAGGTGCTGTGGGCTGGGCGGGCTGGCAGATGGCCTGAAGGACTCTCTGGGGATCCTGAGCCATTACCAATAAGCCAGTGCCTCTCTTCAAACGTGTAGTGGAAGTGCTGCTGCTGGAGGAGGGAGGCTGAGCCTGTGCCAAGACCGCACACCCAGCCCCAGCCACTCCTCACAGTCTCCCCATAAAAATTAACACGGGGTGTGTTACCGTGCTGCCGTGCATGTTAATGTTTCCTGTTGCTTAGGGCAGAAACAGCAGGGATAGGGACACATGATTGAGGGCCTGAACTGTCCCTCCTGCTGAAGGGAAACCTGGCCCTTGCAGCCTCTGTGGAACAAACCCACAATGGGGGTGGCTGCCCCCCAGCCATTCTCAGGGAATGGGGATTGTGCTGGCCAGAACCCCTACAGATGGAATAAGGAATGTGCTTGGGATCACTGGTCCTCAAGAGCCACCTCTGCCATGCTCCAGCTCCTTTGGTGGCACCCAAGCCAGCTGTGGGGATGGTCTCCTGTTCCCACTATCCTGTGACATGGAGAGGAGGATCCTTGTCTCGTTTTACCCATCCTTTCTGGAGAGTGGATGGCTCAGCCCTGGGATCCCAGAGGCTCAGGCAAAGGCCTGCAGCAGACACTTGTCCCCTTTGGAACCCAGTCCCCTCCTCTGCCACCTGTTTCCCAGCTGCACGACACCAGGGACCCGCGGGGCCGGCGCTGCAGACAAAAGCCGGTTCCTCGCCCTGCCGCAGCCTCTCCCCGCGCGGACTCGCTTTAATTAGCCCCATCAAAGCCGGCTGCGTCTCTCCCTCCTGGTAGGTCGCAGAACATGATTAATTCAGGCACAGAAAACAGCCTCCCCCCATAGAGAGGGCCTCTCGATGAGGCCAAAGCTGTTTCCTCTCCCCCATCCAGTCTTCCATCCCGAGCAGCAAGGTTGAGAGCTTCTTTCTCCTCGAAGGAAGGGGTGGGTAGGCACAGGCTGTCCCAGGAGCCGGAGGGGACAAGCAAGAGCAATGGCCTCACCGAGCCTGGGTCTCTCTCCATCCCTCCCCTCTGCTCTGGTCATAGGCATTGCTCACAGCCCACCCGTGGGTCTGCAGTTGGGACTTCCCCCAATAAAACTCTGGGTAGTGCAGTGGGTCTGGGCTCAGAACCAGCCCCTCCACAAATGGGGTCCGTGCATGCGCCCTGGGGAGATGCAGGAGTTGCTCCAACTCCTCCCAGCACCAGATTTCCCCAGCTGCTCTTCCCTGCTCCCTCATATGCAGGGCCCAGGGTGGCACAAACCATAACACAGCTTTATTAACTGCATTTATAGGCAAAGAGATTATAAAAGGAAAAAGCCTTTTGGGAAAAGAGATAGATGGGGGGATCCCTTCCCCCTTTATATTTCTGCCAACGCAGCTGCGTGCAGTGTTCCAACAGCACTCAATGCCCCGGAGAGGCAATTACTGCAGGAGCAGGGCTGGGCTGCTCTCCACTTCATTTTCCTAATACAGTTACATGTCTTGGAAAAGCGCTGCTGCTCAGGGGAAGGTACAAAGCGAGTTCCCAACATGAATCCTCTGCCTCAGGAAGGGCTCTGGGGCTTCCCTTTGCACAGTAGGGAACAGAGGGGCCACCCCAGTACGCACCAGCACAACACTGTTGTCAGGTTTTTATTTCAATCTTATGAACATTCTTCCAAGAAATCAAACATGAGAAGAAAAACAGTTTGAGCTGCTGACAGGAGAGATGAGCTGCAGGCCCAAATCAACTGAGCTGGAGAATCTGTAGGGAAGGGAGGCTTCTAGAAAGCTCAGGAGCCTGAGCCAAGCAGATCTCACCCATTCTCCCCAAGCCACCAAGGCAGAGCCACACACAACAAGACTGGCAGTAGGAAAATGTTTGAGAAACCTCTTTTGCACAGCTCCCTCCCTCTTACTCCAGATCCATGAGCAGTGCGCAGTGGGCCTCCCTCACCACACTGCCTGGAGGGCTCCACAGACACCCCAGGAATGAAAAACACCATAGCTCCAGTGAAGAGAGGGGGCAAGGTGAGCCAGGAATTCAATCTATGTCTCTTCTCATGCACATCAAAGGCTTTTCTGGTGCTGCTATTCAAAGCCAGCAGGCACAGCCATAATCCCAGCTGCTGCTGGGGGTCTGCCCATGGAGACCCTGTGGGTTGGGCTTTCCAGCCCTTTAGTAAGTGCCTTGCTCAGACACAGAGCTCCCCACTCTGTGGGGAGCCCACTCCAGCTGTCCCCTTCAGGAGGTTGCTGTGGTTTCCTGCAGAGGAGCAGCAAGGAGGCAGCTCCCTTCTCATACCCACCACTTGTGGGACCCCAGCAGCACCCCAGAGAAGCAGAGAAATTCCACAGCACCCAGGCTGTTCCCAGAGAGCCACACCCCACACTCCCACCTTGCTGGATGCAAACAGCCGGGCACCCTCAGAGCAGAGAAAGAGATGACCTACTACTGCCTCCTCTTCCATTCTGCAAACAGGGAAGCCTTTATAGCTGATGGGACACAAGGGAATGTGGCCCAAAATGGAGAGAAGGAAAACGCTGCTGGAAAGATCACGTCCATCAGATGAGGAGTGAAGAGGCAAAGTGCCCCTGCTTCCCAGAAAACTTGTTCAAGAGCAGCCACATGGTGACTCCTCACATGAACATGTCATCGTAGCCTGGAGGGGGAAGGTGGTCAGGATCCGGCCTGGAAAGAAATTCAGAGCAGAGTCAAACAGAAGTGAGAGCTCAGGCCTGCAACAGGGATGAGCTGGGATCCAGTGGCAGGCTGGAATACCAGCATGGCCAAGGACCTACCCGGATCGCCCAACTCCTAAGGGACCAAAGGGGTCAAATCTGGCGCCTGGGGGAACAGCTCCTGGGGGAAGCCGGCCTGGGATGCCTGATGATGGGTCAATGCCAGGATGCGGGATGCCAGAGTGGAGAGGATCCACAATCATTCCCCCACTCCGACCTCTGGAGAGAGAAAAGGCAGAGAAGGAGATGAGATTGGCACTGGAGAGAACTGAAGAAATGCTGAGCATGGGAAAATGGGGTTAACCTGACACATGGCATGTGGGAAGGAAAGCTCCCAGGACCAGCCAGTGAGGCAGCCTATGGCAGGAAGACAGAGACCCCTACAGAGAATCCCAGAATTGTTTGAGTAGGAGGGGACCTCAAAGCTCCTTTCATTCCAACCCCCAGCCACAGAAAGGGATATCTTCCACTAGACCAAGCTGTCCCAGGCCCCATCCAATCTTGAACACTTCCAGTAATGGGGCAGCCACAGCTTCTCTGGACAACCAGAGATCTGCGGTCTCATCACCCTCACAGCAAAGAATTTCTTCCCAAAATCCAATCTAACTTGGCCTGCTCTTATTGGGAACCATTCCCCTTTGTTCTGTCACTTCAGGCCCTTGCCTAAAGTCCCTCTCCAGCTCTCTTGGAGCCCCTCTGGGCACTGTAAGGGGCTCTAATGTGTCCGTGAAGCCTTCTCTTCTCCAGGCTGAACACCCCCAGGTCTCTCAGCCAATTTCCACAGCAGAGGTGCTGGCTGCTCCCTCAAGAAGCACCAGACCTGCTGG